ACTAATACGTTCCGATATTTCAATTTCTTTACCTAAACCAAATGGTTGTTATAAATGCGGCAATAATTGTTCCGTTTGCCGACACTTAATTATCACTTCGTCAATTGAATCACTTGTTAACAAAAAGAAATATTTTATTAAAAGCTATCTCACATGCGACACCCCGTATATAATTTACGCTATTTCCTGCAACTTATGTGGGATACAATACATTGGCCAAACCTCGGATACCTGCAAACGCAGATTTTATAATCATTTAAGCGACATACGAAATTTCAAAGATACAACCGTAAGCAATCATTTTAATATTTATAATCATACTATCAATATAAAAATCCTTTCAAAAACTTCGCGCAATTTAAACAAACGATTACGTCATGGGGAAAGCTTCATAACGTTGCTAGCAACAACTAGCCCCGGTGGACTAAACGAATTAGCTTAACGATTTTTTCAAACATTCTTTAAAACTTTTTGTTTGCCAAGATGGACGCAACGGCTCATTGCAGTCTTTGCAATACCGATTTCACGAGAAGACACAATCTATACAAACACCGTAAGAATATTCACCACCTAAGTAGCAATGAAGAGAAGCTCAATTATCTTACGAATAAATGGAAGAAGAACAACAAGATTCCAGAAGAAGAATTAAAGAAAAAGAAGGCATCTCCATGTAAGAAGAAGATGACCGTCAAAATACCCCCCACCTGTATACCGGAAAAACCATCTACATGGGTCCCGCCTTTTGAGGCCCGCCGCCGTTCAACTTATCCCACGATTAATTTTGACCACCTTTCCTTCTCCATCCCGGAAACAGACGGGACCTCTAAAGAAATAGAACCAACAAATACTACAGAAAAAATTCTCGAATTGAATCAGCTCCAAGAAGATCCAGACCTTTTTGAAGAATCATGGAAGCAATTGGCCGCAGAATTTAATTTAATCACCTATTTTTAAAAAAATATAATTAATCCCAGTATAGGGATTAAATTTCTATCTTTCTTTTTTAATCCCAGTATAGGGATTATGTTTTCATTTTTTAATAGAATCTTAATCTAAGGATTATTTATTTTTAATAGAATCTTAATCTAAGGATTATTTAATCCAAATTAATTTTAAAGCGCATGCGCTAAAATTTGTATATATACATCATAGATCTGGATTAATTTTTATCATATTGTTTTGTAACACCAACTGATGAAGGGCTATTAAGCCCGAAACGCGTCTTGTACTAGATTACATCCTTTTAAAACTATACAGTGTTTGATCGAGTTTGTTCCTGGGGGATTTGTCTTTATACTTTTATCTACACGGACTGGTTCCTGCTCTCCCTCAGATGTATCACTGAGATCCGAACGAGATTACACTGTCACAGGGAATCTTCCGCCCTCCTAGTTTTTGAGTGTGGGGGTTTCATCGTCTTTTGGACTTGGAATTTTTTAAGTATACATGAAACAACATACTAAGATATCATAGATATGTATCAACCAAGTTATTCGTCAGATCAAGAAGAAAAGAATATTGAGGAAATTATTGTTTACAATTTACATCAATTTCTTAGAAAATTGCAAAGTAAGTAATTATTCTTTAGTCACATATACAGGAACACATAAACACAAGTTATGGAGAACAGTTATTAAATGCAATACAAAAACTTTCTGTAACAATTTTTTTGTAACAACTATATTGTAGTCTGGTTCAGTTAATTTTTCTTTATACACAGGCACCACTGAAGTCAGTGGAGTCTGAGGGCATTTCAGATATCTAGTGATTTTCCATTTAATTTTCTGAATGGCAGGGAATTTTCATAAAATCTATTTCTAAAGAATGTAAATGCGCTGCATTAGTCTTAAAGTGAAATGATTTTGAAATAAGGAAAAGATTACCACTAATGATTATAACGTAACTAAGTTCATTAATCCTTCATTTTATGTAATGATAATGATTTGAGTCAGGTGTAATCTGTGATGATTTTTATGTGCCTTGTCCACTATGATAGGTACTATGGCAGGCGTCGCCAGCAAGGCCCAGTGAGGCAGGGCATGCTCACCCTTCCAGAACACATGATGCCACTCTGCAAATGGGTTTGTCAACTTGGCATCCCTTAGGAGAGTCCACATAGGTAATGCTTGAGACTTGCCCATTTTTTTTTGGGGGGGGGGGGATTGATTCCGACTTAATTTGGTATGCGATACATGTGATTCAACAGTTAAGTTTGAAATCCTGAAATAATTCAAGAAAATAACGATAGTTATATACTTTTAGTTATTGCCATAGCTTTTATATGCATGTCTTGAATATTCAGAATATATACTATCATCATTTAACACTTTTTCATAAGTGCATATATTTTGTTGGCTGCCACAGTGTTAATGTTCAAATAATAAAATTTCATTTTTTACTTACAGGAGGGAAGATAACTTCAGAGTGGATAAGCCTAAATGATATAACAGATGTAAACACACCTGTCAAACTGACTATTAAAGATTTTTTACGGGCAGTGACTGGAAGCTCTTCGATAAGCAATAATATAAAAATTGGGCTGATATTGTTTGATCACAAAAGCGATCTGTTAACGACTGTGAATACAAGTGCCCCATCAATTACATTTAGCCAAACCTCATCCCTTAAAGAATATTCCTTCCTTGAGAAATCTATGATAAATATAATAGTAGGTGCATATGGATTTGGCATCAATTAAAGGGACTGTTTCTTGTAGTGCAAAACCATTGTTTCATATTTCACTAATTTTATCCATAAGATTCAAAAGCAATCAAAGTCTTTCATAATTCCCTCCTTTATTCTTTGCTGTCCATATTGTATACTCTGATAGAGCACGTGTTTATGTTATGTACTACATTATATAAACAGGAGAAGAAACTTATATTGCAACTCGACATAAACTACAAGAAAAATATAGCTGTAGTCTATGTTATTTAAACAGAAATGACAAATTTCTGCTGAATCAGCTTCGTGAACCCCAATAATGCAATAGAAAAATAATTTTCTTTTGAAAATGTCTATTTTAGCAATCTACAATGCTTTTAAACATCAGAGTACAATTGTTATAAATATATTTGAAAGATTAGCTTCTCAGATATACACTAGAGCTATAATTAAACATGTTTAAATTTCTTCTGCTGTTAATATATTCCTATAATATCATTGATATGTAAACCTGATTGACAGGGTCATTTTATTGTTGTGTTTTTCAGATCATCCCCGGAGACGGGAATATGCAGGCCTTGTTTTTAAAATCATTTTTAAAAAATAAATTATAAAGCTTTCAAGAGTAGTTTTTATGCACTTTTATGAATAATTTAAACAAGTGGTTGCCCAGCAAGATACGCCCACTTTTAAAAAATATTTTTTTGGTATATCAAAGACTATACTTCAGAAATATTTGTCGAATCAAGATCTTATGGATATAAACCTACACACATTTTTGTAATTAAAATTCGACCAAAACTGTGGCCTCTATCGCATTCTCAAGCAAATTTGAACATATTTTTGGTGTATCAAGGGTTAAATATCTGTGAATATTTGTCAAATCAAACCCAAATTCGAACTTGTCCGAGATCTTATGGATATAAACCTACACACAAAATTTTATTAAAATTCGACCAAAACTGTGGCCTCTATCGCGTTCACCAGCCAATTGTGGACGGACGGACAGGGGCGACGGCAAAATACGACCACATTTTTTGAATGTGGGCGTATAAAAATAAATAATTAAGAATAATAAGAATAAGAATAGTTTATTTGTACTTTTAGGCCGTTGGCCCCTTATACATGATAATTGATAAATAAATTATATACAGTTATACACATGGCACAAATAATGAACATTTACAAAGTTTACATCTTGTATAGAAATATAATGCATGGCTGGACAATTAGATGAATCAAAAAAAGATTAGCAGTAACAATAACCTTCCACAAACATCACATTTGAATAGAATTTTAGTGATAACAAATACTTCGCCACAAGCAAGAAGTATCATACTCTATATTACAAACATGACATATAATGGTTTGCAGGAAGGTTAACCATATCGTACTCTTCACCATATACATCACATTTAATAGTTTGCTAGAGGTTTCGCCGTATCATACTATATACCACAAACATCATATTTAATGGTTTGCTAGAAGTTTAACCAAACAAACATCACTTTTAATGGTTTGCTATAAGTTCAACCAAGCCATACCCTTTACTACAAACCTCATATTTAGTGATTTGTTAGAAGTTTAAACATATCATACTCTTTATCACAAATATCGCATTTCGTGGTTTTATAGACGTTTAACCAGATCATACTCTTTATCACAAACATCGCATTTAATGATTTACTAGAAGTTCAACCAGATTGTACTCTTTACCACAAACATCACATTTAATTGTTCACTAGAAGTTTATCCATATTATACTTTTTACTACAAACAAAACGTTTAATGGTTTGCAAGAAGTTTAACCATATTGTACTCTTTACCATGAACATCACATTTAAGGCTTTGCTAGTGGTTTAACTATATTGTACCCTTTACCGTAAACATCACATTTAATGGTTTGCTAGAAGGTCAACCATATTACACCCTTTGTCACAAACACATTCAATGGTTTGGTAGAGTTTAAACCATATCATATTCATTTACCATATATATCACACTTAATGGCTTGATAGAAGTTTAATCATATCATACTCTTTACCACAAACATCACATTTAATGATTTGCTGGAAGTTTAACCATATCCTACTCTTTACCATAAACAACACATTTAATGCTTTGCTAGAGTTGGCCACACCGGGCCCCCTAAGCATGGGACAAATCATAATAAAATAATAATAATATAAATAACTACTCTCATAATGAAAGACCAGATTTTTTATTTTTGGCCTGCAGCACATAATTATTGATCCGATAAATCAATTTTACTTGTAAGAAAGTGAACAGTTTTGCAAAACATATCAATTCCATGAGAATCGGATGTTTGTAGTGGGTCAACATGGTTTCTTAATTCTTCTTCAACATCATCAAGAATGATACAAGAGTTCTGGGGAATCTCAACACAATCAGGTTCATTCCCAGTCCATAATCCTTCTCGATTCACTCCAAAGTCTTGAATATTCTGAAATGAAAATTATATTAAAGTTGACAATGTATTACTGGTATAAGGAGTGAAGGAAAAAACTAGTTTCATAATAGAAACATTGGCCAAGTTTACAACACAAGTATTTTTTTTATAACAAAAAATAGTGAAGATTATATACTGGCGAAGTATTACTGAGAAAGTTTCACTTACAGAAATATTTCATTATTTATCTGGTGCAGAAAATGCATGTGTGGTTTATATAATTTAACATCTACAGGTATTCAAAATATCTTTGACTGTAGTGCTACATGAATTGAGTACTTAAGTGGAATATATTGTTTTAATTAATGAGTTTAATGATAATAAATAGCAAGATGCAAAGATAAAAAGACACAAGTTCGTATATACATACCTCATGTGTCAACGTTTCAGATGGATTCAGCATTTGACCATATGTCCACATCTGAATTGGAGATTGGCATTGGGCAGTTCTCAATGGCCGTCTCATAAAGGCATTTCTAAAAAAAATCAAGGTGGTTCTGAATTCTTGGTAAAAAAACATAGTGCAGGGCATAAAGATGTAGTTCATCAGTAGGTATTAGAATACCTTGGTTCTCCATTGAGCAAAATAAATTATAAAATAATCCAATGCAGCCTGTCCACACATCTCGCCAAAATCGCTCAATTCTGAAAAGATAAAATACATTTACTGGAAATAATAAACTTTTACAGTACTAACATCACTATCAGTAACAGCTAAATATTTCTCTGTTTTTAATAACATGAAATTTTGCTTCAATCTTGAAATTAAGCTATAGGGACAAATTTGACATGACTATTAATTTCGTCAAGTTGACCTTTAGAGTGTGTGCTATATTATGTTTTAAATGTTTTGTAAAGCTGGTAGTCAATAAAAATACCTAACAAACAATATTAACTATGTGGACTCTCTGAAAGTGATGTCGGGTTGACAAACCCAGTCGCAGAAAGGCATCAGGTTTTCCAGAAGGGTGAGCATGCCCTGTCTGGCTAGCAATAACCGCCACATATCGATCATAGTCGAGCTATGAGAAAAATAAAGTTTTTGGACTTGTGTAATGTCATAATCTACAGTATAAACACAAACCTTTGGTTGTGAACGCTGCGTCCAGTTATATGGCTGCCTCTTCCTACTCCCTTTTGTTCAACCATAAATTTGGCAACAAGAACATTTTCACCGCCTTTGTCAGATCTAACTCTTTGCGGAATACCATACACTGTGACAGCTTCCATAAAACTCTGAACCACATTCTCAGACCTGTTATTATCAGAAACTGTTAAATATACAGGTAATCTGGAGAAACCGTCTATTCCACCATGGATAACCATTCTCCAACTGCAAAAAGTAAACGTAAAAATCTAATTACAAATCTAAATAGTCACACTCTGTAACAATATAATTTGATCTGTTAATAAACAGACTTTTACATATTAACTCCATGAAGAAAAATTTAAATTTAATGAATATCAACAGGCTTTTGCCTATAGCCCATTTGTAATTAACATAACAGTAGGGCCTACATGAAAGAAATATAACTACCAAAAAAAATGGAGAGGTAACAAACCCAATTGCAGAATGGCATCAGGTAAACATACCTGACTCCCAAGCGCCCTCTGCAGAGTATTTATCATTGTGGAGCTCAAGAAAATATTCTGAATTGGACTTGAAGCTAAAGGTTTATCAGACTTATCCTCCAGCAATACCATTGGTCTATTGGTGTGTAATGTAACTAGTAAAAAAATATGTGAACTCTACTAAAGCCTTAACCGAGTTGTCTATCAAACTCAGTCACAGGGTGAGCGTAAAATGGAAATACTGGTGATAGAAGTTTTGGCAGACTTACTTGATGAGCTTATGGTAGCCATCAATATGCCATAAGGAGTTTGGCGCTCTCACATTATATTTGCGTATGTTTGGTTTCAAAATGGTCAGATGCCGCAATATACACCCTTCTAAATCCACTCTTCTCACAGATTCACGAACCCTTATTTCTTGAACATTGTCTCCATCACTAAGTAAGTGTGCCCTCACAGATCTATAGCCAACATCTGGATGGTTTATTAATATCTGCTCAGTTTTTACATCCAGTTCTTCATCAGATATTGTACTGAATTTATTTCCATATTTGATGCCATACTCTGAAAGCCTTGTCCTCAATGTTCTGACACTAATTCCAAAAAGTTCGGCAATATCTTTCTGCTTGAAATTACACTCTATCAAAAATTCCAGCTGGCTCAATGGTATTTCAGTCTTTGGCCTGCCCGTTTTCCCGTTCACATAAGTTGGTTGTACTCCAAAAGATTCTCCTTGCGCTTGTTGTTGAACTTCAACTTGAAGCATGGTATTCACAAGATCATATGCAGAAGACAAACATTGCATGGCATGGTCTATTTGAGAATCATCAAACTCCACCGATACCTCTGACAAGATACCAGACACCATGTCTAATTCTCTTGCAACATACTCAATGGATTGCCTACTTTCAAGTTTATAAGCTAAATTTGTTATCAGTCGTTTGAGTTCGCTGATAATTTCGACAGCCATGACGAGAACAATAAACTAGAGTTAGCTCCCTTCGTTTGGGAGAAATCATTGTGTCGATTAGAAAATAGTTCGACCTTGACCTAAATAAAGATAATTCAGCGGAGAAACGTAAGTAATGACAACGAGATATGTCATCTAATGCTTATGGTAGATGTTTCAGATTGTAAAATCAATTGTGCATAAGAGGTTATATGTATTTTGTATTAGAGGTTTCTTGTATTTTGTCTCTTGCAATAGACGTATGAGGTATTTTGTATTAGAGGTTTCTTGTATTTTGTTTTTTGCATTAGACGTTTTAGGTATTTGGTATGGCATTATGTTACATGTGTGTTTCGAATTAGACATTTCTACATAACATTAGGTTTTTGCCGCTTTCCCCCGCCATAGTTCTAGCTGTGCGGATTGATATACTATTCAAAAAAAGTAGGGGATATTTGATTTTGGGGGCATAATACTAAAATATGCAAATGACTACGAAAAAAGTCACTATAGAACCTAACAGAAGAAACATTTCCAGTTACATGTGACGCCCAAACGCACCAATAGCTACCGCATGTAATGCAGGTGATGCTTGGGATCATCATGGGGGTCCAACCCAAGATTTGCACGACTTTGAATGTTACAGTCATTGTGGCATTGAATTCCAGGGTGGAAACATCAGTTTAATTGTTTTAGTGACCAGAAAACAAATTTTGATATGCGTCGGCTTACCCAAAATGAAAGGTTACGTGCCCTTGGCATGCTACAGATCGGCACAACACAGGCGGTTGTGGCGCGGACGATGAATGTTTCTCAGTCTGTCATAAGCAGGCTATGGTCCAGATACCGTGATACACAATCTGTACAGGACAGACCACGCTCAGGTCGACCAAGGGCGACAACTCAAGCCCAGGATCGATTTATCCGTACCTTGGCCTTGAGAAATCGTGTCATCACAGCAAATCAGATCAGCGCTCGTCTTCAAACAGACACTGGTGTGAGAGTGAGTGGCCAGACGATTCGGAATCGACTGCATGGGGGTCACCTTCGCGCCCGACGTCCTCGCGTGATCCCTTGTTTGAGAGATCATCACATTCAGGCAAGACGTCGTTGGTGTAGGGATCGTCAACACTGGGATAATCGACGCTGGCGCAATGTGATGTTTTCAGATGAGTCAAGGTTCACTGTTGATTTTTTGGACAGACGTAGGAGGGTGTGGCGTCGTCGAAACGAGCGCTTCCAAGACGTTAACGTCATCAGACATGATCGATTTGGGGGTGGTTCTGTTATGGTGTGGGGAAGCATCACTGTTGCTGGAAGAACGGCTTTACATGTTGTTGCAGGGCGTGTTACAGGCCAGTACTACCGGGACAACATCTTGGCAGTCCATGTTGTGCCGTTCGCACGACGTCATGGCCGCCGTTTCATCTTCCAGGATGACAACGCAAGATGTCACAGGGCCAGGATCGTTACAGGTTACCTCCAACAACAGAACATCACCACATTACCTTGGCCAGCACTGAGTTCCGACCTCTCCCCCATCGAGCATGTCTGGGAGATGCTTGGACAGAGGTTACGTCAACGTCAACAACGTCCTGACAATGTCCAAGAACTTGCTGCTGCGTTGCAACAGGAATGGGACAATCTGGACCAAAATGACCTTAGACGTCTCATTAGGAGTATGCCACGTCGGATCAATGCTTGTTTGGCAAACAGAGGAGGATTTACCCGTTACTGACTTGGTTGTGATGCTGTGGTAACTTTGCTGTTTGACCCCGGGTATCATTTTACCCTTATAATGGTCAGTCTGTGCCTTACTTAGTCTAACGATCATTTGGAATAAATCGATGAATGTGAACTTCATTTCATTTTGTCATTTGTTTCTTCGTCAGTTTCATTAGGTGACTTTAATAACACTTAAAAATCAAATATCCCCTACTTTTTTTGAATAGTGTATTTCACTTACGCGCTGTCTCATTATAAATCGCGCTAAAGAACAGAGTACACGCCGACGTGTACTGGTTTTGAAGATTACATTCCAACATATTATGAAATGAAATGGCGTTTGACGTCCTACTTTTCTACACCGACTTAGCTGATGAAGACTGACATGCTTCATGCAGTGGGTTGCTAACCTGGAGGCCAGTATTAGGATGACCCGTGCAGTGAAAATTTTCCCTTGCAGAAAGTTGGTCTCGACACGGCGAATTTGCACTCTTCAGTGGCTTGGCTCGAAGTGATTTCTGCCTAACCACGCAGTATGATGAGACTATAAATAGCCATCGCGCGTGCAATTCTCTAAACATCTATCAACTATTACAGCCGTAAAAAATCTATTGTTTTGACGATTCTGAATAGCAGTAATATTTAGCCTTTTGGTTATTACAGCAGCTTTAGAAATTACGTTCGTTTTATTTTTTAAATTGCTTTATCATTAACTGTACCGTTGGGAGCGGCATCTTTTGTTTTAGTACAAATAATATCTCTGAAAAACTTGCGTTATACTGATACTAGCAGTAATTTTACTTTTACAAGGTTCTTAAAACAATTGTTGAGTTGCCTAACGTGAGTGTTTCTAAGTTCAATTTCTTGTTCCAGCTTTGTGTTGTGTGTCGTAAAAAAGGATCGAGTCTTGATTATCCCGGGCTGTCAATCAGACGTAGAATGGTCGGTAGGCTGGTTAAGCGAGACTAATTTCAAAACAAGGGCACGTAACCTATTTTTGAGGGTTTGGATGATGAAAACGTTCCGAACAAATTTTCCACAAATGCTATTTAATACCTTAGCTTTTCACTTTTGCGAGAAAGTTCAGTGGTGCCGGACAGAGAGTCTAACACAGCGAGTTGTCTAGTTGTTCCGATGGGACGAAAAACCGAGGTCCCATGTAGACATTGGCGTGCAGGTGAAAGATCCCTTAGTAGTTGGAATATATATATGAGTAGACCATAGTGCCGCTGTCCGGACAAAATTGCCCCCATAGCACACTGTATTGCGTATGCCCGTCACCTTTAGCCCAGTCGGGGCAGAACAACAGGACGTTAAACCCCATTACATTTAATTTCTTTTCATTTTTGATAGGCACCACTTCGTTCAAATATATTACGGCGGCCATCTTGGATCTCGAAGCGATTGGTTTGGTTTACTGGGATGAAGGTTTACTCAAGTCACGGGGGTCAAGCCACAATGTTTCTCTAAACAGGACGTACGACTATTAGAACCATCGCTGCTTTCAGTAACTTTGACAATGCTACCGATATTCCTCCATGTTGTCTAGCACTCTCTTGGGACGAATGAAATATTTCCTAGGAGGGTATTTTATTAAGATACAGGCGTGTAGTTCCATTTGATTTCCCTACTATTCTAGCGACTCGTTCTGGAAATTGTTGTATGAAGCCCGAGGCACGGTTTAAACTGGCATTAGTTTGTCATTGTCGTTTTGAAGGGATCTGGAGTTCCACATTACAACTTGTCGAGTTTTTCGCAGATCTTGAGATAAAGAATGACTGGTACTGGTACTGTGACATCGACGATGTATAAGGTAACGTCATACTAATCATTTTATGGTCGTCCTACCAAAACGCTTGATTTTTATACATTGTACCTCTAAATGATAAATACAGACAAGCTCTCTCCCTCTCTCTCTCTCTCGTAATGCTCCCTTCTTCAATTACTCTATTATAGGACCTATAATATATGATTAATAATTTAGATGTATATAATATATACAACTTGTCTGCGATATCACCTTTGGTGGAAGCGGACGTTAAAGACTAAGAAGACGATTAAGAAGAAACATCTAGTCAATGAAAAGGGCATATTTTGATTCGGTTACTCCCCTCCAGACGTAGACCCATATTTTGATTCGGTTATGGTTTATTTTGGTGGACCTTAGGGGATCTTATCCCCCCCCCTCCAGACGTAGACACGTGGGCACGCTAATATGCCTGTGTGTGGATGTAACCTTAGCTAACCAGCACATCCATTCACCGGGCCACAGCAGCGCAATATATCTTCATTCTTAATGTTCGTAAACAATTTTGATTAATGGAAGGATTGGTGTGTCATTTACATCCATGCACAATTGATGACATTCAAGTAATAAAAATATTTTATTATGCCCAATTAACCAGTGCATAGCAGAATACTGCAGAAAAACTAATTGTGTGACAGACGAGGCTATCAGCACGGAGAGAAAAATGGGGTTCAACAAATCAAATATATTATTAATGTACATACGGGATTGTCTAAGTCATACATGCATTCAATATATGTGCATGAAAAATGGAAATGGTGGCAAAGCAATAAATATTTATACGACAATATCATAAGTAATGCATGCAGCTTGCAACATGTGTGCTATGTAAGGTAATTAAAAAGCGTAATAGACACTCGAAAACATATAATTCATTTTCTTTGTAACAGTACACGTAATGAGAGAAAGAGAGAAAGAAAAGGTGGGGTTTAACGTCCACTCGACACAAACTAGGTTATTTCGGGACTAACATATGGTTCAATTTTATTTCAATAATTCGCTTGCGCGTAGGGGTCTATTGCGTTGGGAGGAAAGCAGAGGACCCAGAGAAAACACGGAGGTTGGATAGGCGAACCTACTCCTCTTGTCACGTACGACCGGGAAATCGAAACCACGCCATTTGACCCAATGGTTATTTCGGGACTAACATGTGGTTCAATTTTATTTCAATAATTCGCTTGTCTGTAGGGGTCTTTAGCAGTGGGGGGAAACCAGAGGACTCGGAGAAAACCCACGAGGGTGTACAGGCGATCGAAACCACGCCAGTTGACTCAATGACAGGTTATTTCGGGACTAACATGTGGTTCAATTTTATTTCAATAATTCGCTTGCGCGATGGGGTCTTTAGCAGTGGGAGGAAACCGGAGGACCCGGAGAAAACCCACGATTATGGACAGGCGACCCTACTCCTTGTCAGGTACAACCGGGAAATCGAAACCACGCCAGTTTGCTAAATGACAGACCTTATAAAACAACGCACACGCGCTAACCAACCGGCCATTCAACACCCCTACACGTAATTAATTTGACAGTATTTATAGAGTAGGTTGATCTGGATATATGACGACGAAATGCACTTTTCAACAGAATTCAAAGAAAGAAAAAATCAAGATCAGAAAGGCCATATTCACAGTGCTTATCTATTGCAAACCGCCCCTTTGCTTTGGCTGCTTTAGTAAATAATATGCTCTACGTAACTTGGGTCTGTGTTGTGAAGAAAATCTTATAAATATGATACATATTTTGAAAACTTATAAATATGATACAAGGACCGAGTGACATGTTTTGTAATGTACTTGGTTAGACTTCCCTGTAGCACTAGTAATAAAATACCAAATACTAATACCAAATACTATTTAGTAAATAGTATCGGACATACCAATTTTGCTACTTGGTTAAATGGACATCAATTTGGACAAATGCAAACTAATACCATCGTTTCAAAGACCAAGTGCCTCCGAAGTCGGGAGGTTGGATGGTCCAGTGGTTTAACGCGTGTGCGTGAAATCATTAGGTATGTCATTAAGTCAAGTGGTTTCGAGTTCCCGCTTGAACGTTACAAGAGGTAGGAGATGGCCTGTCCAGCTCGTAGATTTTCTGCGTTTCCTTCCACGGCTAACGAACTCTAAGAACAAATGAATCAGTGAAATAAAATTGAATCATATGTTAGTCCCGATGAGACAGTTTTTGTCAAGTCCACACATCAACGTAGCATTCGTTGAATAATATGTGCACACATTTCACTTAGTTTTTTGTTAACTGCACCTATTATGCCGTTGAGAAAACATTCAAGATACCTTTTTGGGAGAAACCTTGAATTGTTTCAAATTCTAAAACACAGGGGTGTAACCTGTAAGCATAAAGGTACACCACTGTGGCTGTTGTTGCTTACAAATAAAGCAGCAATTATCTTGCCCTGCACCACGATCAGTGCTAAATGATAAGGCCAGCTCAACTTTTCGTCATAGGCCACGGTGGTAAACAGGGCTAGCGCTAATCCCAACCATAACTCTTCATGGCGGAGTGGGAAAGGGACGTTTTCTAGATGACATTTTCATAGTCTGGACGCACACGCTAGACGAATTTTGGACGTTTTTCAACATTCTGGTTCATCATCATCCATCTGTTAAATTAACCGCTAATGTAAGTCATAACAGCATAGATTTCTTTGACACCACCGTCTTTAAAAGCAGCAACACCAAAAACACAGGCCAGCTGGAAACTTAATTTTTTTTAAAGAAACCGATACACATCAGTTATTGTACAAGAGCTCCTTTCACCCCAAAGATACCTTCTCTGGCATCATAAAATCTCAGATTCTCCGTTTTCATAGGATATGCACCTAGAAGACTCACTTTGAGTCAGCATGTGCGCTGGTATTTAGTAAACTAAGAGAAAGGGGATACTCCGACGTATAAAACAACAACACTCTAGCTGAACTTGCCGCCAAAGGAACAAATAATATGCAATCAGCAAAAACTGATGGCCATCCAAGATGTCAAACATATCCGACCATTTTCATAAAAAAAACATCTGGCACACAATTCCCAGTATTAGACCAACTTTCGTGCAGTAGTTCAAACATAATTTATCTAATTTCATGTAGACAATTGTGACAAGCAATACGTAGGGTAGACTCAAAATGCACTTAGGGAAGGAATTAACGGTCACCGGTCAGACATAGTCACCAAAAAAAGACAAACCGGTCTCAATTCATTTCAACCAACCAAATCATGACATTTCTGGCGCAATAGCCCCTTTTGTAGTTCCATTTACTGCAACAGCAGCACTTGCATCCAAAATCATCAGAAAACTCTATACTGATCTCCAAGAAAATCACCCGAAAATCTTCACACAGAAACTTATATTTAGCATTTTCTAAAAATAAAAATCTGAACATCCTAGTGCACAGTAAATTAGATTAAATAAGACCAGTCTCCAGTCTAACCCAAAGCAAATGATATATTAAATCCTATCCCTAACCGTTAGTAAATAAAATCAACTAGATATAAGAATCCCTAGCCCTAACCCGGTGATGTGGAACAAACACGATTTTTTTAGAAAATCCAATTCGTAGTAAGAAGTACACTAATGTGGCTCTCCCTCGAGAGCCCCAAATTTATTCTTTTTTCTTCAGAAACAAAAATACCAGAATACCAGAAGCGCCATCCAAAGAAGACCATCAGCGCCACCAACACCAAAAAAACAGTGAAATCGCCTTTGTATATACATCTAATGTATTGTATCTATTTTTAATAAAGCTAGAAAATATCGCGAACTAATTTTTCAGCAACCTAGGTCAGTGCTTATGTGGAGACTTAACCTCTCCCCCAAATTCTTAAACCTAACCCTGTACCTAGCCCCAATGCTTACCTTAACAATAACATACAATTACGCCAACAATCACGTGCCCTGACCTAATTTACATCTCAGTGATCTTAACAAAATTTGAGCTAGCCATAACAAATAGATCTAGCCCCACACCACCCAAGAGCGCAGGCTGTTGACGCCGGAAACTTCCGGTTGTTTTTGAAATTTTACTACAGCAGATCAAGAAGTGGTCTAAAAAAGGCCTGCGAGTATGGTACTTTGAGAAGCCCCCTTTTGCTTTTGGTGAAGGGGGGAACTTTTTAGACTTATATTAAAAGTCGTTAGTTTGGGAATTATTAAGATTGCTACACGCTAAATTTGTGCATAAGCTAGAAAGATGGGGATATATTCTTGAACGAGTTATTTATAGTCAGTGTTTCATGATGTTTTAAGAGCGCGGGCCCGGCGCAGACAACGTCCACCTCGTCCCCACGCTGATCAAAGTTCAAAACGACATAGTATTGTGAATTGCTTGCCTCATCAATTGTGCATGAATGTGCGTGACACACAAATCCTTCCATTAATCAAAATTGTTTACGAACATTAACAATGGAGATATATTACATCATTTTTCAAATCACCCTAGAAATAAGAATATAGGACTGTCCAGGATCTTTGGTCGTCAGGCAATTTACAGATTGCTACTGATTCTACAAGAACCATGAAAGTCTTCATTATCGCAGTACTAGCTCTTGTGGCTTTGGGTAACTATCTTTTATTTTCTGGCCACTAATATATCGTTTGTTTATCGTCAGTCTGTTCAGTCGATCTGCGATTGCTGTTAATTTCTCAAACTGATCGAGACAGGCTGCTATTGATTCTACAAGAAGCGTAAAATTCTTCATCGCCGTAGTTCTTGCTCGTTGAGCTTTCATTATTTGATTTCATTAACGGAAATGAAATGATGTTTAACGTCCTACTATTCTTGCTCAGACATGGGCTAATAAAGACGGGCATATACAATGTGCTATGAGGCTAATTTTGCCCAGACCGCGGCGCTACCACCTGCTCTGTCAAGGGATCTTTTACGTGCACGCCAATGTGTACACGGTATCTCGTTTATAGTCGTCCCATCTGCGAACCAAAACTACGCCTTAATATCCAGCTGAACGTTTTCGGGCAACACTGGGAGCGAACCCACGACCTCCAAGCTAACGAGCCAGCGCCTTACTCACTTAGCTACCATGGCTCCGAGTTCATTGACGGTGCTGCTGTGGCACAGTGAGTGGATGTGGTGGTTTGCTAACTAGGTCTCAGATCGCCCCCCGGGGATTGCCCAGAAAGTTTTTCCGCAAAGTTTTCCGTCTAATTGTTCGGGTAGGTAAAGAAAACCGTGATTCCGTGTACTTGATGGCCTGCACGTAAAAGAACCCTTAGCTATAGGAAATCGAAATAAGAGTAGGCAGTAGCCCGACTGTCCTGTCTAAATTGTCATCAAAATTCACAGTATGACGTGTCAGCATTAGGTACAGAACAGTAGGACGTTAAAACCACATTTCATTTCAATGTGGATTTGAAAAAGAACTATATGCTTTGTCAGGATGGCTCCACTCCCTCCCCAATACAAGATGTAATATTACAAATGAACCTTAATTTTGGGTGGAAACTTTAGATTTATTTTAGCGATTTAAAATAAAAATCAGAATCTATGATTTTATTTCTGACAGCTATAAGCGTACCTGACGTACATACAGTTTAATTTTGTTTCTAACAGCTATAATCTTACATACATTTTAAAATTGCCGATACGCCGTAGACATATTATTTGTACAGAGCGGCTTTGCATACAAAGTTCAAGATTCGACTTTGAAAAGCTAAATGGTTCAGTAATACAATCCGTGAGAAAGTCGGAATCAACCATCACCATAGCCACCAGCAACGCCACTGAAATTCTGTCTCTCATCGGACTGGCACACAAAATTGTAGATATTCTTGATCTAAGTCACATTTTTGTCTTTTCGCATAAAATACAAACAGACTTTTGGACGAGAATGTTTGTCGCGAACAGAACAACGAGTAGGTTTATTACAACTTCAAAATGATGTTTAAAATACGAATCATAATTACCAGTACAACTGACTTCGACTTTTCAGGCAAATTAAGGTTAAATAAAGGGTACGATGGACTTGTATTTTTCCTGGAGGTCGTTTCAGTCAGTAGATATCCTTTTGCGAACGTTTATAAACTTTATTTTGAGCTGACATGTCCACACAAAGGAAATTGACTATTTCTTTACTTCCCACCATAAGGTTTTGTATATTTGAAGCCAATTAAGCAATACAGGTCTCTGCTTACTCCACCAACAAGAAAATATAATGGCATAGAGGTAGAAATTACACGTCAATTCGGCACTGTTCGTGCTCTGGGTTGCTGGTTGGCCGAATGGTTAATGCGTGCGCGATGGATCATAAGGTCTGTCATTGAGTCAAGTAGTGTGGTTTCGATTCCACGCTTTTAAGTGACAAGGAGTAGGGTCGTCTGTCCAGCATCGTGGGTTTCTCCCACTGCTAAGCGAGATCTTGTAATGCAATTGAAACATATGTTAGTCGCGCAAAGATCTAGCTTGCGTCGAGTGGATGTTAAACCCCACCATCTATATCTCTCTCTCCTCCCTCTCTCTCTCTCTCTCTCTCTCTCGGCTAATTACCCGAAATCACATAAGTTCCCATTCGCCTCCCGTACGTAATCGTCTAATATAACAAAAGTAAATTAAGTAAAAATGGACCGTAACGATTGATCGAAATCGAGTGCACCTAAAGATTCTTTGGCACTGGGTATTCTTAGAGGATTGGACAGAAATGCCGCTGACGTGTCTGGTGATAGTTCAAATTTAAAGTGTGTGGTGATAGTTCAAATTTAACTTATTAATTTGTTGTACTTCAGTGTAACAGATGGACCCAATTCTATGATCTTGACAACCCGTCCGGCTATGGTGATCAGGAACCCTTGGACAGTCTTCGAACGGCAAGACCCTATGATAATATCTGTGCAAGACCAGCTACCTTGAAATATGAAACCGTATCTACAAAAGCGTGTATCAACACAGGAGAAGTGATTACAGCATCACCGATCGAGGGTTTCGCATGTGTTAATGCTCGTCAACCCGATCAAAGGTGTGACGATTACAAAGTTCGATACTGCTGTCTAGACGGTAAGTAGGCTATCATAGGTATTATATAAAGAAAAAAATAACCATACAATATCTGGCTTGTCTGCGATATCACCTCGGTAAAATACAACTAACACACACACAAAATATCTGGCACCCAGAAACCAACGATTAGTAATCTTTTAGAATTAATGTGACATTTATACAGTGTTAATTTGCAGTCATATTCGTTCACTGGACAAGATGGGGGCGTGGAGCTAAATAGAGACAATGTAAACATTTTCTTCCGATCAAAAGAGTTTAACTGAAATCAGAATATATTTATATATTGTTAGACCTTGGCTACTTATGAACCCTTGTTTGGGTATGTGACTTCTTGAATTATTAATAGAACTAGCGGATTACCCGACATTGCACGGGTAGAGCCATGCATTGGAAGTAGTAGTGCATCGTCAGCAGGCCCATATCATTCCCCGCCTCGTCGCCAAATGTCAGTCTCGTTACTATTCTCTATTTTCAGCCCAAGTCACATGTCCGAACGGATATGAATGGACCTACTTCTACGACCGTGACAACCCCTCAGGCACAGGTGATTGGGAATTATTGGGGCAGCTACGAAAAGAAAATCCAAATGAGATTTGTGAAAAACCATTCGCCATAGATGTCCGTCGTCGAAGCAATGGCCGCGACTTTAGAACATGCGGCGAGAACGTCACTGTCTCTCCATCGTACGGATTTCTCTGCCTAGCTCGAAACCAGTATGATCACTATTGTGAAGATTACAAAGTTCGATTCTGTTGTCCTTGTAATGAATAAATATCTAAATGGATAACATGAAAGAATAAAAATATTGCACAATTACCTCGTTCACTGTGTTTACACGCTATACCAGTTTTTCCAAGCCCTTTTCATTCTTGGGCCCCTCGGGTGTGAGTTTGGTACACCTGGAAAAGGTGGTTCCTCAACTCATAGCAAGATGATGGCCATTAACGCGACTCTGGTATCAGCTAATAACGTACAAATACCAAGATCCACCGAAAGGGAAACGTTTGCCGGAAAATTCAAAAGAGCTTACGCGACACCATTAAACTCTTTATTCTGGACTTTGCTTATACTTAGATTTTTGACGTATTGTCGTCGTCATCGGAGTTGAAAGATAACTAAGCTTTTGTTTATCTTTATATACGATTGCAGTTTGGTTCATTTCATATAAATATGGCGGGTTGGATGGCTGAATTGTTAGCACGTGTGCGCTGTATCATAAGGTCTGCCATTGAGTCAACTGGTGTGGTTTCGATTCTCCGGTTGAACGTGAAAGGAAGTAGGGTAGCCTGTCTAACCCGTTGGTTTTCTACTGGTACTCCGGTTTCCCCCATTGCTAAAGACCCCTACACGCAAGCGAATTATTGAAATAAAATTGAACCCTGTGTTTGTCTCGAAATGACCTAGTTGATGTCGAGTGAACGTTAAACCCCATTTCTCTCCCTCCCTATTAATATTCAGTAATGAAATGAAATGATTTGGGGGTTTAACGTCCTACTTTTTTTCTTCACCTGGCTAATGAAGACAGGCATTCACCTGTGCTTTGCGAAAAATTCTGGCGGGACATTCCAACTGTTATGGCTACTATTTTCCCGGGCACTAGTGCTACGCTCCCCCCCACCTGCCAACATTATTTAATTCAAGACAAAGTCCGGTGCTCTTACCCCTCTCGCCCCCACCCCTTGTATTCTATATAAGAATGATCACAAAACACTGACACACCAACACCAGTTTTCCTACATACATTTCCTGAACAATTCTTTAGTGTAGGGAAACGCCCTTCATTGACCCTCCTAGGAAATATTCCACTCACCTGAGAGATCATCTCAAGAAAGTGATAAACTACCTGGATAATATCCGTATCACAGCGACTGGTGTAATAATCTTACATCCAGTTTAACGAAGGATGGTGGGGACTTTTAAGTGTTCCGGAGGTCGGGTGTTCATTTCATTTCATTTTTAAGTGTTCCGTTACTCCCGTGAACTAAACCAGACTCTTCGATATACAAGATGGCCATTATATTGCTTGATACTACAAACGTAGATGACATACAATCGTAGACAGAGACTAGTCATAGACACATAGAATGACTCAAACTAAAAGAAAAACACAGCTATGATCTTATCAATTTTTAACAACTTCAGCTTTTTATTAGTTTGTTACTAGCGTAGGAATTACTGGTATCTATATAGCAGATAGTGTAATACCTACATTGACTTGTCTACGATATCACTTTAGTTGGTCAGTGTCTATATAGCAGATAGTGTAATACCTACATTGTCTACGATATCACTTTAGGTGATCAGTATCTATATAGCAGATAGTGTAATACCTACATTGACTTGTCTACGATATCACTTTAGGTGATCAGTATCTATATAGCAGATAGTGTAATACCTACATTGACTTGTCTACGATATCACTTTAGGTGATCAGTATCTATATAGCAGATAGTGTAATACCTACATTGACTTGTCTACGATATCACTTTAGGTGATCAGTATCTATATAGCAGATAGTGTAATACCTACATTGACTTGTCTACGATATCACTTTAGGTGGAAGTGGACGTAAACCTTAGGAACGAACGAATGAACGAACCTACATTGATTAAACAAATATCTCAACGAATCATCTGTGGTCTTGACCGACTAATAATAACTGGACTCAGTATTTAATCATTATGAAGACCAGGCATAGTATGACCCATCCAGATTTGTTCGACAATCTTATGTTTCTAACCATGGGTTACACCAGGGGGTCACGGTGGCTGAGTGGGTAAGACGCTTGCTCGCTAGCCTGGAGGTCGGGTGTTCGATCCCTGCATTGACCGAGAAAGTTCATCCAGATTTTACGGCGTGGTTCCCCCTTGTTAGTGATGCAGGACGGATGAGAAGAAAAACCGAGATGCCGTGTATACATTGGCGTGCACGTAAAAGATCCCTTGACACTGTATGGCGTATGCTCGTCTTCATTAGCCCAGTTCGGAGCAAAAAAGTAGGACGTTAAACCCCATTTCATTTCATTTCTGGTTACACTAGAAGTCAGAAGTCATTTACGACATGGTTCATATTTTTGGACAGACCATAACTCGTAAATCCACACAAAAAAAAAATTCCGTGGAAATCCTCGTCTTTCACGGATATAGACACAGTCGAATTCAGTGCTGCCGTAAGAATAAATTGTACCGAGATCTAACCCTTGGCCTTACAGGTAAGCGTACAAGCCGGGGCGGGGGCGGTGGCGTCAGCGGAGTTTTCGGGCAGTCGGGTAAAGTGACCAAAATTCTATGACGAGCTTCTTGGTCCGAAGCCACGCAGCTTTGTGTGACAGTTTTCAGACACCGATCGTTATATGTGTCGTCAATTTTTTCTGGAATCGAAATATCTTTAAACTGACTGACATGGTTAAAACATTTAAATTCGATGTAATAGCCACTAAGCTCTAAGTGCGAAACGTTTTTCGGGCATCAACATTTCTTTCAATGTTGAAATTCCTAATTTCATGTGAATGCAAGGGCACCAGTCAGACGGATTGATTGACTTAATAATGAGAGTTCATTTTCAGTTTGCTGTTTTCGCGGGCTGAAATAGCAGGAAAACGCGTTTGGAGCCATCTTAATCTCAAACATTTCCTCGGAAGATTTTACCCTCATACTCCGACCTGGTGACCGGCTTCACAAATTTCTTTGGGGAGATATCGCCCTCTTGCCCTCCGTTCTCGACCTGTTGACCGTTTCGGTCATTTCTTTTCTCACCCCTCTCCCGCAACATCTGGTATCCAGTTGGACACAGATAGGGATTTCGGTTCCAAAGCTCAATAAATAAGTCCATAGTGGACAACTGCCTTGTCGCTTCCCTCACTGGTCCGAATTGCAGGAAAATGCGTTGACAATCGTCTAATTTCAAATTTGTTCTACGGGATGCATAACCACTTTCCCTTCAATACCACCCTATGCCAGCCGCAAAGGACATGTTTTCGGGCATTTCCATTTCTGCTCCCGTCCCCATCCCCAAAGCTGATCAGACATGTAAGCCTATGACCTTTCAGTTGGTATCCTTGTCCTAGGAGGTTAGTGGGAAGAGTGGGGGGGGGGGGCTTCATGAATTCTGGTGCGATCGATAAGGAAATGTGCATGTTGATGCAAGGAACAGTGATTAGTCTTTTGATGACTGGGATGACGTTATGCTCAGCTCCTGGTTCATATATTGCGTTCGTACTTGTTACGAAACTTTGTACCACGGTATTTAGTTCGACAACTGATACCCGTTGACTGAACGTGGAAGTGGTAATACTTAATATTACTTTGAAGAGCGATGTGGATTTATTAGACTTGCTGAAGACACTGATCGTTATATACAAACAAATCTGATAGCTAGCTAGCTTTATTTCTCAATCTTAATCAATACATGATTCTGTTCGTTTAATAATTATTTGGACAGCAGAAACGGATTTTGTAATCCTGGCATTGTCCATCGGGTTGCTGTGCATCTACACACGAAAAGCCAAGTTCTGGAACCAGACATACAACCTCGCCGGCTGTGGAGTAGTCGTAGCCGGTACTTGTAACACGGACGTCAATAGCTACTGGATCTGTACATACACGGTTAAAGGGGTAATCGATGTTGATTAACGACAACGTCTCATAATCACCAGTTCCAGTAGGTAGGTCACGATTATAGTAGCTGGTCCAGCGATATCCAGTGGGACAGGATGGGTAGCCTAGACAAAAAAACAGAAAAAAACAAACAAATGAAATGGGGTTTAACGTCCTATATTTCTGCTCCGACTGGGCTATTGAAGATTGGCATACGTCATGCAGTGGACTATGCAGGAAATTTTGCCCAGACAGCGACGCAACGGTATACCTTTATAACCCAATCTTGAAAGGATGGTGTTGGCAAATTTATGGTTATCCTTTGAAATCGTTAAAGATGCATTATGTAAGAGCCATGCATAATCCACTCTATAGACCATCAGTTTTAAAAAAAACACACACATCATACTTGTGAGTCCTGTGCAAGTATTGATAATTCTGCTATCTGTTATCACTTGTGTACAAACTAGCCCCCCCCCCTCCCACACACCCCCACCCCTACCCAAACACACACATATATGTAAGTTATTACATAACCGATTTCACATTCAAATAGAACACGCGTTTGATCGGCTGTGGGGGGATGGCTGAATGGTTAGCACGTGCGCGCTGTATCATAAAGTCTGTCATTGAGTCCAACTGGCGAGGTTTAGAATCTCCGGTTGTACGTGACAAAGAGTAGGGTCGCCTATAACACTCCACACGCGTCCTAACATGGTACATCTCCCAGATTTTAAAACTGTATCAATCGAGTAAAGATAACTGGATCACAAATCATTCAGATATTGTATCACAAGTTTTATACACTTCAGAGAAAGAGAGAGAGAGAGAGAGAGAGAGAAATAGGGTTTAACGTCCGCTCGAAACAAACTATGTCATTTCGGGACTAACACATAGTTCAATTTTATTTCAATAATTCGCTTGCGCGTAGAGGGGTTTAGCAGTGGAAGGAAACCGAAGGACCGGGAGAAAACCCACGAGGTTGAACAGGCGACCCTACTCCTTGTCACGTACAACCCGGGAATCGAAACCCCGTCAGTTGACTCAATGACAGGCCGTACGACACAGCGCGCACGTGCTAACCATTCGGCCATCCACACCCCCCCCCCCTCTCCTTATCCACTTCAATAACCCAACTAATTCAAGTAATAAATTGTTAGCGCCCCCCATTCTACTTGACCAACTGCGGGTATATTTCAATTGATTGTATACACAAACATAAACATGAATTTATATCAGTATGGCTTCATACTGTAAAAGACACATTTTAAAGATGCATTATGTAAGAGATAAATCTCCCTTTTGCAGGTCTTTATTTTGACTTTAAACATTATATAAATCTATTATTTAAACATTCATTAACATGACAAGCCTATATTCAACTCTCTGAACCATCAGATGGCGCCGACTTAAAGTAGATTAGAGTGATTCGGCCATTTAATGATTTAATTTTAAAAATGGAGAAAAAGTCTCGAATAACAAGTACCGTTGTTACGATACTAAACAATCAATGAACACACCTTGCCTAAACTACAAACAGTGATTGCTTCGCTCAGAATTAAGAAATTTGAATGAAATTTTCAATATATTCATTTTGCATTATCTATTTTTAAACTATTATAGCAAGAACGGCCAGTCATGTATCTAAATCTTACATAATGTATCTTTAAATGGCAAGAGGTGGTTATTGAGGAACTATTACATAATGTATCTTTAAACTATTATAGCCAGAACGACCAGCTATGTATCTAAATCTTACATAATGTAAGAGGTGGTTATTGGGGAACTATTTAGTCTGTACTCACGATAATTGCAGCAGTATCGACATTTGTAATCTTCACACTGTCCGTCAGGTTGCAAGTAATTGAAACATGCCAAACCATAAGTAGCAGCAATCGATACATCGTCCCGAAAAGGTCCCGTGAGACGTCTACAATTTACAACTTCCGGTGAAGCACAGATCTGTCCAGGATTTTCTTGTCGGTGGAGAGAAAGGAGCTCAAGATCTCCAAGACCCGATGGATCGTCTCGGTTATAAAACGCTGTCCATTTGTTACACATCGGACAGTGATTAGCTTCGGCTAAATAAACAAAGATAAACAAAAAGATTCAACACACCCTTTAAAACAATCAGAAATGTTTGATTGAGCAGGTAGGACTCCAACCATATTATGACGTTGATAATGAATCTGGAGATCAGGAAAAAGCTCGAAATCTCCAATTTCCGAAAGGTCATCCCAGTTGTAAAACCCAGTCCATGGGATATTGTATTAAACAAAAGTAAAATTATGTTATATTTTGTATATGAACAGCGTTTGTGTATCTCTCTATCTATCTATACTAATATTTGTGACTGTCGTTTGACTGTCTGTTTGTCTGTCTGTTCGGGGTTGGCGGCTACACTAGGTCTGCCCCGAGTCGGAAATTTGGGGTATAGGGGTAGCTCGGACCGGGGAGTAACATAGGCCAGGTAGCGTTAGTCTACCACTTCCGGTTTCGGTTTTATGACCCCCGAGCGAAGCCGGTCATTCTTCTAGTGTCTGATAATTTTGTTTTACTAGTGCATGTTGTCTAATATGTGTTTTCGCCACACACACACCTATAGCACACGATAGACGAATCATTTTAATCAAAGGTTTTTGTTTATAAATAAAAATATTAGCCAACGTAACGTACGCATGTACCAGCATCTATACCGTTGGAAGTTGCCCGGATCAAGACTGCTATAGGGGAAATTTGCTCGGACAGTGGTACTGCGGCCCACTCTTATTTTGAATTCCCGCTGCCAAGGGTTCAATTACGTGCACGTCCTTGTGTACACCCGGGGCCTCGGGTTTTCGTACCTTCCGAAAGACTTAACACTGTTCTTGCCAGTCCTCCGTCCTACTCAAGTGACAAAGGAAAATCATAAAGGAAAATTACAATGAACTTTTCAGATCATCACCGGGGTCGAACTCGAGACTCTTTGGTTAGCGGTCCAACGTCTTACTTACCGAGATCCCGTACTATAAAGAACTAAATGAACGATCAATGGCGATCATGTTTTAATTACTTTGTAAACAAGACTACTATGTAAATATGTATAAATTGTTGTATTTTATCCATCGCTATACAACGACATTGTTTTAAAAATCTCCCAGATGAGCGAAAAGTACTTTAACAATGTTAAAATGTAATTAAACCAGTGTTGAAATCAGTTTGTGTCGGCATACCTGTTATCGTAGTGCAACTTCACGGCTGAGCTAATACTTTTGTATATACATGTAAATAGCTTTTAAATAACATAGCTTATTTACTTGCGTTGCACGGATAGTGCAATGAAGTAGTAATGACACCATGCCTATGCCTTTCCGCGACTCGAGCTGTCCCTAACCCTCAGCTTGCAAACTCGGGGCAACTTCGAACAGACACATTTAAATAAATAGATAGATGTACCTTTTTGTGACAAGTTGTAGAAAGTGAAACAAAGTTACTTAAAGCTACCAGAGCAAGAACTACGAAGATGATGACTTGCATGGTTCTTGTAGAATCAGTAGCAGTCTGTCAATCGACTGACGACCAACGATACAACACTCTTATCATTTTGATAAATCTATAGCCTAACGATTGACTGAGCAGACTGACAATAAACAAGCGATCCATTAATAAAATAAAATAAAAGATAGTTACCTAAAGCCACCAGAGCAAGTACTGCGATAATGAAGACTTTCATGGTTCTTGTAGAATCAGAAGCAGTCTGTCGATCGACTGACGACCAACGATCCTGGGCAGTCTTATATACTTATTTCTAGGGTGATTTGAAAAATGATGCGATATATCTTCATTCTTAATGTTCGTAAACAATTTTGATTAATGGGAGTATCGTTGTGTCATGCACATCCATGCACAATTATTACATGCAAGTGCAGAGTTTTATAGACGCAACACCCTTGTCACTTTGATAAATTAAGGAAATTTCATGAATATTTTTAATTCTTGGAACATTTCTAGAACAGTTTGATTTATTTTCGAGTTATAATAATTAATAATGTGATAAGTGGGTGTATAGGTAGGTATTTTGAACTAGTTCGATTTAAAAGCAATTTATTTTCTTTATACATGATTTATAGACAATAAACTTTAAAGGGCACATAGCAACCATTTTGAAAGTGGCCTTCAAGTGTTTGGTGCCCGAGTGGTTTTGACGGAGGACCCGTTGTACACATTTGCGTGTACGTAAAAGATTCCTTTACAGTTGGAATACAAAGGTTTCGAGAAAAGGTCAGTAACTCGGATAGGATTACTGAAAGCTTAACCCATGACAAAAACTAGCTCAATAACTTTATTGGTTTGTTTAAAGGCTAGATGCGTCTTTCGCATTTTCACAAAGATATAAAACATTCTCACGTCTTAATTCACCTTAAATATTTACGACAAAATAAAAATATGAGCGGCAGATAATTTCCCGGTTTGGAAAGAGAGAGAGAGAGAGAGAGAGATGGGGATTAACGTCCACTCGACACAAACTAGGTCATTTCGGGACTAACATATGTTTTTAATTTATTTCAATTCACGTTAAATATGTACGACAAAAATACAAATATCAGCGGCAGATAATTTCCCAGTTTGGACTCAGACGGATATAAACAAAGTCTTTTACTCTACCAATAATATATAGCGACGTCTTGCAATCTGATTAAAATACAGATCTATATTTCGTTTCGTTTTTTTATACTTTCGTTGACCTCTACTACATGAAGATCCTGTCATTTGTAGCGGGGGATCGCGTCAGAAGTCATACGTTGATGTTTATAGTGGGTTACCCACAGTTCCATGCACTTCACGCCAAAAACAGACCGTTTTTTTTTTGGCTAATCCCTCACATCAATAGGAACCCGGGTTATATAACAACTCTACCAGATCCTAGTTTAGTAAAGACAAGAAAAACGAAACGAAATAGGATCAGGTTGCGGCGTCTTGTAACATAGATCAATGAAATGTCAATTTATCATAATTATTGAACGCAATAAGTTGGACTGATTAGATTAGCGAGTTATTATATAGTTTGAGAAGGAAGTGCCACCATACTCCATTAATATTCGCATGTGATAAATTGAACTGATTTTACGTTACATTGTTACATTATATTATATTATTATTATTATATTATATAGATTGAGAAAGTAGTGTCGGATTAGTATTGGAATATGAGAAATTAATCGATTTTATGTCATTTTTGTGATCCGATGGTTGGGTGTCCATAAGGTATATTAATGAGTCACGTGGTTTGGTCTCGATTCCAAGCGTGTACGTGACAACTTTGTGCCCCTCTCTCTCTTTCTCTCTCTCTCTCTCTTAGACAGTCGATGGGAGCGTGGGTGGGGTGGGTGAGGGCGACTATGTGTGTCATGCTGGAGTTGTGTTATGGCGATGACCACATCGTGGTTAGCACGTGCGCGCTGTATCATAAGGTCTATCATTGCGTCAACTGGTGGTTTCGATTCCCCGGTTGTACGTGACAATGAGTAGGGTCGCCTGTCCAACCCCATGGGTTTTCTCCGTGTACCCCTTTTTCCTCCCACTGCGAATTATTGAAATAAAATTAAACCATGTGTTAGTCTCGAAATGACCTAGTTTGTGTTGAGTGGACGTTAAGCCCACCGTCTCTCTCTCTCTCTTTCTCTCTCCAAAACGCAATATAACAACATGACTAGTAAAGTGGGGTATACGCAATATAACAACAGGACTAGTAAAGTCGGGTATACGCAATCACAATGTCAATTTCTAGACAAAGTTATTAGCAATGATACGAACGACTGCCATCTTGCTACCATGACCGAAACTAGTTCAATAACTTTATTGGTTTGTTGGGGATCACGTGGCTAAATGGGTAAGACGTTCGCTAGCCTGGAGGTCGGGTGTTCGATCCCTACATTGCCGAGAAAGTTCATCCAGATTTTCCGGCGTGGTTCCCCCTTGTCAGTGATGCAGGACGGAGGGCCTGACAAGGACAGCTGTCTAGTCCTTCGGATGAGACGAAAAACCGAGGTCCCATGTATACATTGGAATGCACGTAAAAGATCCCTTGGCAGTTGGAATACGATATCAGAGTAGGCGATAGTGTCGCTGCCCGGGCAAAATTTCCCTCATAGCACACTGTATGGCATATGCCCGTCTTCATTAGCCCAGCATAGGAGCAGAACAGTAGGACGTTAAACCCCATTTCATTTTATTTCATTTCATTTATTGGTTTGTTTAAACTTTAAAGGCTAAATGCGTCATTTGCATTTTCACTAAAACATCAAATTTCTCAAGGCTTAATTCAGTCTAAACATGTACTCAGATTGATTAATTAATCTTTAATTAAGACGACAAAATCAAAATATCAGCTCTAGATAACCTTCCGATTTGGATTCAATCGGGTTCCTTTCTTTAGCAATAAAATATTGCTTCGTCTTGTTACATAGATCGATGAAATGTCAAATTATCATAAATATTGAACGGAATTTGCATACTTTTCTTACTGATATTACTATAAGAATACGAAACTTTCTAAATATTGTAGTTTGCAAAGGGTTCCAATAGCGCTTTCATTCGTTCGTTCGCACGCCCGCTTTCGCCAAAAGTGATGTCGCAGACTGGAATGACGTATCGAGCCTTTAAATGCTATAGTTGTCATTATATTATTTTGATTAGATTAACGAGTTATTATGTGGTTTGAGAAGGAAGTGTCACCTTACTTTCTTGGTATTCGCATATGCCAAATACACCTGATTTTATGGGTCTTTTTTATCCAGGGGTTTGGGGGCTGGTTGGTCTGACCCTGTAAGTTATATTGATTAGATCGAGCTATAATAGTGTCGCCTTAGTAAATAGTAAACATGTGTTACAAGCATGTATCATTTATAATAATATACACAGCCTTTCATTTCCACGCCACATTCATATGCTTTCATAGTTTGTATTCGCAAAAAGAGTAAACCTGGGTGTTGCGGTGACCTTACATGCTGGTATCATGTCATTTATAATAATGTCATATTCTTGTACGAGAAAAATTTCCCCATCCCATACACTACTGCATGGCGTATGAGAGAGAGAGAGAGAGAGAGAGAGAGAGGGGGGGGTCAACGTCCACTCGACACAAACTAGGTCATTTTGGGACTAACACAGTGGGAGGAAACCGGAGGACACGGCGAAAACCCACGGGATTCGACAGGCGGCCCTACTTCTTGCCACGGACAACCGGGGAATCGAAACCACGCCATTGACTCAATGACAGACCTTATGTATGGCGAATGTCTGAGTGGTTCGGAATTCGCAAAAAGAGTAAGCCGGAGTGCTCCGGTGACCTCTGATTTCGCATAAATAACAAGATCCAATTGACGGGTGATGGGAGGGGGAGAGGGGAATTGGCGAATGTGTGTAATGCTGGAGTCGTGTTATGGCATACCGCGATGACCCCGATCTACACCCCTAAAACCGAAAGGCAACGACAGGGTTAAATGAAGCCAGGTATACGCAATGTGGATGGGAAAGTTTGTCTGCACAGCGGCACCACGGCCTACTCTTATTCCGAATTCCAAGTGTAAAAGTTTCTTTTATTATTCTGCACCAACGGGGATAATGAACACTAACATTTGCAAGACAGTATACAACGAGGAAAATATTGCCCGGAAGGTGATCGAGATCCAACTGTGATGGATAGACAGGACCTCGGATATACATCCCACCTGAACTACTAGACACCGTTCTTTGCCAGGCCCTCGGTCCAACACAACTGACAAGTGGACACCAAGTTAATGAGCCAGCAAGTTGATCAGCCACCAAAGAAAACGTATTGATCAATAAATGCAATATAAGATTCATTTGTTATATTCACAGTCAAATCTGATATTTCCTTCTCAAACTAAATAATTACGTTTCAGTTGGTAACATCAAATAGGTCTTCGTCACAGCTTGTGTTTTTCAATAAATGCACGAGTTCTCATTATTAGAGTCATTTGTTATATTCACAGTCAAATCTGATATTTCCTTCTCAAACTAAATAATGACGAAATGAAACGGGCTTTAACGTCGTATGATCGTGCACTTACTTTTATTACGAATTCAAAGGGATGTTTCACGCTACTCATCACCGCCCCCCCCCCCCAGCACCACCACCATCACCACCACCTGTCCTGCAATGGGGAACTTTCCAGGCCAAGTAAATCAAACTCTTTCTTTTTAAATTTACTGGGATTGTCTCACTCTGTATCCACGTCTACTGCAGTTAACATGTAATGGGGTTTAACGTCCTACTGTTCTGCTCCTGTTGGTATACGGAAGACGTACATACGTGGCTTCCTGTGACTACTCTTCCATTAACCATTTGAAGGGTGGAAATACCCCGACAGGCTGCATGTTCTCAGCTGTTGATATTAAAGGTACTCAACCTCTAACTGTTGATATTAAAGGTACTCAAACTCTAACTGTTGATATTAAAGGTACTCAACCTCTAACTGTTGATATTAAAGGTACTCAACCTCTAACTGTTGATATTAAAGGTACTCAACCTTTAACTGTTGATATTAAAGGTACTCAACCTCTAACTGTTGATATTAAAGGTACTCAACCTCTAACTGTTGATATTAAAGGTACTAAACCTCTAACTGTTTATATTAAAGGTACTAAACCTCTAACTGTTTATATTAAAGGGAGTAAACCTCTAACTGTTGATATTAAAGGGACTAAGCCCCTAACTGTTGATATTAAAGGTACTAAACCTCTAACTAATAAGAGATGAATCTTGGTCAATTTCGATCAACATCGGTGTTGTGATCTTACTGTGAAAATATGTAATAATTATTTCCAATATTAAAGACACAATGTTCGAGTGCCATTTTAAATTTAAAAAGACAAACATATACGACAAGACAATGTGGAAATAATTAAAAATGACTGATACACAAACGACAAAATAATTTTAAAACCCCGTGTAGAATGGACTAAGCAAGCGCAAGGGCATGTCGTTCAGTTTGGACTCTTCACGTATTTCAACAAACATAATTGATAAGAAATCACAAATTTCAAATCATATAATATAGACTCGTATTACATTAATGTGCTTTTAGATCTGGCCCCGGTTTCACGAAACATTTTCAGACTTAATAGTAAGTGCAGGGGGACTGCACCACACATAATTTACACAAAAACCAATTAATGGACAGGACATATTACGCAGAACTCACAAACAGATGCACAATTCAAATAAAGTGAATGGATCCGGGGGCTAGCCGTAAGCGTCCACTGCGCTGTACAGTCCCGGACCTGTAGTGGCACAGACTCCACATAAATTTCAAAACAATCAGGAATAAAACCCAGAGAAACCATTGTGTAATGTCAGCATGAGTCGTGATCTGCGATATATTACAAGAAATATGAATGTAAGCATATTGTAGTAAAATGTATCTATACAAGTAACCACATACGTTAAATGTAATTAAAAAATATGTTCTAAGTCAATTAAAAAACGTTTTAGTATTCAATAGAATAGAGGCATATTGAACACTGAAAATTGTTCGCAATATCTCAGCTAAAATATAACCCCAGATTATATTCCTGGATCAAAGATATTTCTCATAAAAATTCTTAGAACTTTTGTCGCTTTTTAATGTTCCAAATATTAGAACTGCATAGACCCTTTAGTTATTATAACTTTAAAATAAATTAAACAGTTTGGGGGATTTCAAAAAATTAAAAATGTTCATGAAATTTCCTTAATTTATCATAGTGACAGGTTGTTGCGTCTATAAAACTCTGCACTTGCATGTAATAATTTTGCATGGATGTGCATGACTCACCAAACCATCCATTAATCAAAATTGTTTACGAACATTTAGAATGAAGATATATTGCATCATTTTTCAAATCACACTAGAAATAAGTATATAAGACTGCCCAGGATCGTTGGTTGTCCGTCGATCTACAGACTGCTACTGATTCTACAAGAACCATGAAAGTCTTCATTATCGCAGTACTAACTCTGGTGGCTTTAGGTAACTATCTTGTATTTTAATTCATTAATATATCGCTTATTTATCACCAATCCGCTTAGTCTGCAGGCTGCTACTGATCTTAAACAATCTGATTAAAACACAGATCATATTTCTTTTCGTTTTTTATAGTTCAAAATTTTGTTTTATTTGTCTTTACTACACTAGGATCTGGAAGAGTAGTTATATAACCTGAACTGTGGGTAAATCACTAAAAACGTCAAAGCTGATTGATTAATCAATGTCTGACGTCATAGGTCAAAAGCCGTTCGTACTACCTCTAACGCCACCCCTGACGCGACCTTTTACTACAACCGGTCAGATCTTCATGTAGTGTTACTAGTGTAGGCCATCGAAAGTATAAAAAAACAAAGCAAAATATAAATCTGCATTTTGATCAGACTGGTATTTAAAAGACATACAGAAATCTTCATTGTCGTTGTTCTTGCACTGGTGGTTTTAGGTAACCCTCTATTTAAATTTGTGAATGCCCTTTGTCTGAAATGCGGGGCGTTAAGGCAGAGGCGAGGCGCGGCATGGCATAAGATAAGACTTGTTTAGTTCCACTACTACTCATGCGTATTCTAGTGCAATGCAGGAAAACTGCTCTCGAGCGCAAATTGTATTGAGACGCCTTGATGAATGAGACAAAAATGAAACGTGAAACCGTGCTTCCTTTTGTAGACAGGACTAACCAGGCGCGAGCGACTGCTATTCAATAAAATCTGAATGCATATCCGTTTATACACTTATAATACGTTAAAATGAGCTTTTTACACATTTTCGTTCGAATTAGGTTCCAAAGAAATTAGATTTAGCTCCTTTAACCAGACTTCACAGGTATATGATACAGGTGGTTCTCTTTGCAACTAGTTAAATTTGCCGCCTTATACCAAATTAAGACATTTGTAACTTCTATAAGATCAGACCAGGGCTGTGGATCATAGCAACGTCATGATCAAGTACGAAACCATATTGGAGGGGTTGAGTCACCGAATGGTTTGTCAACTAGTCCAGTGGCGTGTTTTAGTTTTCCCCCTGGAACGTGGCATTGTAATAGAATTGAACCATATGTTAGACCCGAAATGACCTAGTCTGAGTCGAATGAAGTTAAAATCTCTCTCTCTCTCTCTCTCTCTCTCTCTATCTGAAACATATTATTTTCCATATTTATTCAGCCAAAGCTCAGTACTGTCCGCAGTGTAACCAATGGACCAGATTTTACAACCGGGACAATCAGACGGGTCTCGGAGATTTAGAGCTTCTTACTAGTCATCGTTATGACAATCCAGGCGAAATCTGTGAGGAACCAGAAGTTGTCGAAGCTCGGAGTACTTCGGGTATTGGTGGAGAAGTTATATCAATTGGACCTGATTATGGTTTATCCTGCACTAATTTCTTGCAAGAGGATGGCCAGTGTGAAGATTACGCTGTTCGATTCTGTTGTAGAGCAGGTGAGTTGAAACTATCTGTTTCTATCTAATTCAATCTATAACCACCTCACGATTAAAAACAGTAATTTGGAAACGTGTGAGAGTAAAGGTTGGAGACGGGCGAACGATTAAGAGAACTAATCGATTCCGTTTCCTTAGATAAAGATGCAAATGCCACAAGAGTAGAGCAGCCTCCCGCCTTTTATGTTGGATGTTTCTTTCGTCTAGGCTCCCCAGCCTGTCCTGTTGAATTTTGTGGACCGCCTTTTACGATCGTGACAACTATAGCTATAACCACATCAGCACTGAAACCAGTTATGTTTAATTTTGTTTGGTCCAGGTTCCCTTTTTTATATATAAAAACCCAGCCAGGCTACAGTAATATTTCAGCTAAAAAGATTTTTTTTTCGTTTAGGCACCCCAGTCTGTCCTGTTGGATTTGCTTGGACTGCCTTCTACGATCGTGACAATGCTACTGGAACTGGTGATCACGAGACATTGTCCCTTATCAGAAAGTACCACCCCGGTGTATGTCGGTCCCCACGAGCCATTGATGTCCGCGTTTCAAGTACCGGTTACGACTACAGATCAACTGGCGAGTCTGTTTGTTTGTGTCCATCAAGAGGCTTTTCTTGTCAAAATGTGGATCAAGATGATGCACAATGTGAAGATTACAAAATTAGATTCTGCTGTCCAACTTAAACGAACAAAATTAGATTGTCCAACTTAAACGAACAAAATCATGATTTTATTAACATGGCGAAATAAATGCTAGCTAGCAATCAGATTTGTGTGTATATATTGAGCACTATAAACACCACGCAGTCCTGAAATGAAATGGGGTTTAAATGTCCTGTGACTGGGCTAATGAAGACGGCCACCTAGTCCTGAACTTGAGAACACCTATCTTGTCGATCGTACTCTAATTGGCGGGGCCTTTGACTTTTTATACAGATCGTCGCCTCAGGGGCAATACTGATACCGTATGATCGAGCCTTTGATCGAGGACAATAACGTCACATTTATACTTAATACTGAGCCGGTATGACCGAGTCTTAAATCAAGGACAACAATGTTACATTTATACTTAATATTGAGCCCGTATGATTGAGTCTTTATCAAGTACAAATGTTGTCTGGAAATCGATGTACAACTACTGCAGAATTTCAGGACGAACGCATGACATGTCAATAAATGTAAACGTTACCAGATATCAAAATATATGTATTTAATAGCAAGTGAATGCACGCCATATATCCTTCAAACCATGCATAGTTACCAACATCTGGCAGGAAATACAAGTCGTCTGCATCCTTCTGTGAGTCGGAGCAGAACTGTAGGACGTTAAACCTCATTTCATTTCATTTCTCATTTAGTGTATCTTTTAAATTGGGGGGTTGGATGGCTGAATGGTTAGAAGTGCGCTGTATCATACGGCCTGTCATTGAGTCAACTGGAGTGGTTTCGAATCCCCGGATGTACGTTACAAGGAGTAGGGTCGCCTGTCCGACCTTGTGGGTTTTCGCCGGGTCCTCCCACTTCTAACATCCCCTACGCGCAAGCGAATTATTGAAATAAAAAATTAAACCAAAATTTGAAAGTGTTATCCCGCAATCGTGTCACATCGAACATAAGAAAAGAAATGGGCTTTAACGTCTCGTCAATACAGCACAGAGTTCATATTGAGACTAACATGGTTATTTTTGTTCTGTGGTCATATGTTCAATGCTAGAGAGAAGAACTTTACAGCAAAGTTACTGTTTACCCTTGTAACACTATCTTAGTGATAACAGAGATCAGTTTAGTATATAAAACAGCCACAGGTACATAAATACAACAACAATACGGGAACTTAAACTATACAGGAACTAGACTACGACAGGAACACATTTAACTATGCTAAATCCACCGTACTGCTCCTGCCACATGATCATACATGCAATTGTCTCTTTATCACGTCATGGTATAATTACTGACCAGTGCATATTCCTTTGAAGTCATGTGGATCTTGTACACAGAGCATATGGGATTAATTACATGTTTAATTAGATCATAGCCTGTCCGTGCCTTAACAGAAGTTTATATTATTATTATATTATTATCAATAACCAGCTGACGTCATACAGTTCTAAGCACCTAAATGATCGTTCAATTTGATGGAAGGTATAGATCACTTTGTCACACCCTTCATGTCAAGTATTTTGTTTTTACGTTCACACCAATAAATACATGGGTGGACCACGAGTTTCTGCCCCTTCCAAACGACTAGACAATACGTTACTAATTTCCCTTTCCGCACTAGCTTTAGAATCTTTCAGCTTGACCTCGTAATCCTTTATCTGCTTCCTTTGCTTCTTTTTGTACTCTCTAGGATCGTTAGAACCCGTTCCTGTTTTAATTGGGCTATTTCGTCAACGTTTGCGTTCGACGCAAGTCTTTAGTCTTTGTTTCATGTTTCTGGATCCCTCGCGTTTAATTCAACTTGTGTGCGTTTTAATTCAGGGATTCTGTGGTCTTTCTTTGTTAATTCATTAGTCCGTACATTCAGATTGTCAACAGGTTTGTTACACTCTTCCCGGTCGCAAAATTTCCAGCTATAACCACTCTTAATTCTTCAAATTCATCTAAAAAGATAATATTAATTTGATATTATACATCGGTGATAAAGAAGCTGGTTGAAAGAATACACCCCCACAACAAAATAGAGAGAGAGAGAGAGAAATGGGGTTTAACGTCCACTCGACGCGGACTAGGTCATTTCGGGATTAACATATGGTTTAATTTTATTTCAATAATTCGATTGCGGGTAGGGGTCTTTAGCAGTAAGAGGAAACACACGAAGTTGGACAGACAACCCTACTCTTTGTACCCACACAACAGCTATGTCTGAGGAGTGAATGTGCACTAGAAACAATAAACAAGAATACTTATAAAAAATATTTGAATTTATTTACATAATTATGAGTGTTCTAAAGATACAAGTGAAAAGTAATAAAAAAACATGGACACGTTAATGATTGTTAATTACTATGTAAATCTGTAAAATTGGGTAATTACCAGTACTGAAAGAAACAGAAATATTACATATTAAATGTTTGTAGAAAATAGGTAATTGTTGAATTCGTGTGGTGGGGGTGGGGGGCACACATATGAGTTTAGGACGACTGCATATTACCCGAACAAAATTTGATAAGACACAGTACTAAGGAAAGACAATAAATATAGATGGTGCAATAATTTAACATCAAACATATATATAAAATCCATATATATAAAATCTGTGGGCCAACCAAAATCATCTAGACTGCTGTACATTCCCTGGCTCTCAGGGGCTCAGATTTCAGTGAAAATGAAAACAAAGGGAAACAATCCAGCAATCCAAGAAAAGGGGTAGGGAAATATTCTCAAAAAGTTGATTACTCTAGTGTGAGTCATGATTGACTATGCGCTGTAAGAAATGATTACAGTTGAAATTGTGTGCATAAAATCAATCATTTACAGTGAGAAAACAAGAAATACCTCATTATAATATTTGATGTTGGTTTATTTTAATTATCTTGTACCGTTTGTTGATTTTTGAAGTAGTAACAAAAAGGTCTGTTTCACAAAGGTGATGGTAGAATAATTTTTAGATTAGCCATCTACTTTTGTGCTAATGACCTTTCTGCTCTGGGTAGTGTACTGATGCCAAAAGGTCTTCTACTGGTCAGGCAGAAAATTTTAAAGATGTTTCAGATGTAGTATATTAAATATAAAAAGTAATATTAATTTGATAATAATGAATCAGCTGGCCATGGATAAGAAATGTAGCCTCAGTGGTATCTAAAAGTGGAAACCTAGTTAACAAATGATATCCAGACTATGGCAGTGTCAAGTTAAAACAGCCTTGTAAAACAATTTTGCAGAGGAATACTGAAAGAAAGATTCAATTATACGAATGTGCTGCGTGTCTTAAATAACCTGTATCTAAAGAAAGAAAAAAGATAGATTTGATTAGTTTGTTTATACATTCTAGATATTATATTTACAAAGCAGGTTTTAAAAACTATGTACCATACCGATAGATTTTTTATCGCTATAGTATCTAAAGTTGACTTTATAGTTTTCAACATAATAGCTTGTGTCTAAATTAAAAAACAATGAGAACACGTGTAGGCTTTACCTAAAGAAAAAAGAGAAAATAAAATCATGTAGGCTTTACTGTAGAGGAAAACAAATCTTTCAAGATTTGTTTTCTGTTCTGAAACACATGTATCTGCAAGAAACAGATTAATTTTGTTTGTTATTTGGGTTTAATTTTGGGTGTTGGGAGGGGGGGGGGGGCATGTTAAAGCGAAGAACTAAAACAGGAAAGCTTTATTGAGCCATGGCCATATGCATCGTTTGTAGCATAGCTTCCCAAATGTGAGAGTGTATGGATATCTAGTTCAAAACGCGCAATTGTAGTCTTATGGCCATATGAATAAAAATACAAAGCTATATATATAGTGCTGCGACAGAGCTAAAAACATGTGATTGGCCCATGGTCATTTAATTTAATATTAGCGGTTATAGACGTCAAACTCAACATGGGAAAGAAGGCATTCATTCCTTTTATTGTTAAGCACCATGAAAAATACCCTATAAATGTATTTTTTAAAAATAGTAAGCTCATATTAATATTTATCAGAAGAACCAGACAGTTCTTCATCATTTGCAGGGGAGCCATCAGGTTCTTTTTTCCTACTGTTACACGTTTCTTTGATATGGCCATACCTGCTGCAATTAAAGCATGTCAGAAAGCGAGCACCGGAGCACGCCTCCAAATGGCCATCTATTCCACAAAGTTTACACTCATGTTCTAGAGCCTGTGAAGACTCGCAAGATCCGTGTGCCTTGTTACAACACTTGTTACAGAAATGCTGGTTTATCCCATGGCTGCAGTCACTTTTTGACTTTCTTTCCAATGTATAACCAGAAGTCAACGTAAGTTTTCCACTTTTGGAAGCGCTACGCCTAATCCGCGATTGTGGCTTTTTTGCCACTGGTTTATCTACAATCCGTTTAAGGCCTGCAGCTGCCCTTTCTTTATCTGCTTTAGCTACTTGTCCTGCCCAAATTGGCGTAACCATGGACGTCCCATCAGCATAAGTGCCATCACTACTAATAGATAGCGCTACGTGCATTGCAGTTGAAGTTGCACTTATACGCCTTTTTTTCGGAGTGGGTGCAAACTGCACTGACGGAATGGCCAGCGTACTTCTTGGAAGATGCATTGAACGTATGTCCCCGGACATCTTCAATTGTTGAGCTCCTGGCGGGCTTTCTGCATAGTTACCAATACCGACTAAGGGTGGCGATGGTGGCTGTCTTCTGACCTTAAGTCTTTTATTTTCAGCCTTAAGAATGGCATTTTCAGCCTTAAGAATGGCATTTTCCTTAAGAATGGCATTTTCAGCCTTAAGAATGGCATTTTCAGCCTTAAGAATTGCGTTTTCGTCCTTCATGGCTTTATTTTCAGCTTGAAGACCAGCTTCCTTACCTTCATTTGATTCAAAGCGTGCTAGGCGTGCATACGTGTCTTGAATTATTGCTGTGTTGCACTCCACCACTTTGATAATAACTTGCAATAAGTCCCTAACATACTTATTTTCAGTTTTTTCTTTATTTTCTAACTTGGTCATATTAGAGAAACATGCATCAGCTGCTGGCGTCTGGGGCATCTCAGCATTTCCTAAACCTAAAAACATATGTATATTTTCCTCTGTTTCCATCGTCAACACTGAAAATACAAAAGTATGATTTAATTATTTTACATTTTTAATGTTAGATTTATCCTCATCTAACGAAAATATTCTTGATTTTTTCTTTTCGGGGGTCAATAATATTTACCAGGGACGGATCCAGAGGGTGGGGGTCCACTTATTATGAGAAAAGTAGCACGGTCGTGTGCTTTATCCCTTATCGTCAAATGGTGGATGGGATGGACATTCAAAGAGCGAGATAATTATATAGACATATGCACTGAAAAAAAACTTGTGTTGAAACAACACAAACTTGTGTTGTTTTCAACACAAGTAAGGTGTCTCTATTTAACAACACAAACTTGTGTTGAAACAACACAAAACTTGTGTTAAATGTTGAAACAACACAAAACTTGTGTTAAAATTTATCAAACAACACAAACTTGTGTTGAAACTTGTGTGAAAATCTACAATACTTGTGTTGAAATTTTTGAAACTTGTGTTGAAATTTTTGAAACTTGTGTTGAATTTCTGAAACTTGTGTTAAAATTTCTGAAACTTGTGTTGAAATTTCTGAAACTTGTGTGGTTTCATACAAACCATCCACAAAAACTTGTGTTGTGTTTTTCCCCAATTTATATACAGTATAGCAACCTTTTTATGCAGGACCCATCTCTTTGCTCTGTTAGACCTGTAAAGTTTGATAAAAGAAGGAAACAAAATTTGTTTTTGTTTTTGTAAGATTATTATTTATTCATAAAATCATAGGAAAAAGTAAATTAATACATCAAAACTAAATAGATATTTGAAATGTTAACAGAAAAACAGAGAATTCTAATACTAATTATATTGTGTTATATATAATGACCCCCCCCCCCACACACACACACACACCACTTTACCCATCACAAAATATAACATAGCTATTTAAATTGTTCTTAACCCCACACACTTTACCTATCACAAAATATAAAATAGCTATATAAATTGTTCTTTACCCCAAAACAAGAACTGAGAATATAAAGATATGTACACAGTATCCCTACCCCATACTCCAAAATATATAATTCAAATAATATCTAAATTTAATAACATCCAAACCAAGCACTAAGATTAATTATGCACTAAATTGAAACAATTTCAAAAACTGAAAAGTGCTACAAAATCACACTACAAGTGATTTGTGAGACATATAGAAATAACTAACAAAAGAAAAATGCACTATTTTGCAGGAGAAATAAAATGATGTAAAACCTTTTCCTCATTACAAAAACCCAAACAAAATGAATATTTTGTAAATAAAAGAAGCAAAGCATCAAGATTATAGGATTGAAATAAAAAAATATCATATGCACAAAAAATTTATATACAATTACAAGTCATAAGCCACAGTGGTTCAGTGAGTATAAGGTGTTGGCCGAGAAATTTCAACTGGATTTTCCGGCATAGTTCCCACTTGTCAGTAGTCTTGGATATGGCAAGGGATAATTGGGTACAAGCCCGGAATCGAAAGAGAGAGAGAGAGAAATGGGGTTTAACGTCCACTTGACACAAACTAGGTCATTTCGGGATTAACATATGGTTTAATTTTATTTCAATAATTCGTTGCGCATAGGGGTCTTTAGCAGTGGGAGGAAACCGTAGGTCCCGTAGAAAACCCACAAGATTGGACAGGCGACCCTACTCCTTGTCACGTACAACCGGGGATTCGAAACCACGCCAGTTGACTCAATGACAGGCCTATGATACCGCACGCACATGCTTACCATTCGGCCATCCACCACCCCCTCCCCCATTCCCGGAATCGAAACCATCCCCACTGCGTTCACTTAGAAGAAGCCTTGACAATTGAATTATTTGACTCAATGACAGACTTCCTGATCAAATGTGTGCGTGTTAATCATTGCCCCCCCCCCCCCGGGTTCCCGTTGAAGAACCCTTGACAGTTGAAATATTTGATATAAGAGTAGGGTGTAGGGCAGAATCACTCTAAGAACACAGAAAAGTAGGATACTAAACCGTATTTCATTTCATAAGCAAGGGAAAGTCACCTTTATGTAGGTCAAGGTTTTTTGTAATTCTGGGTGTATTTGATCTACATTTGGTTTCTAGTAATGCCTATTAAATACTTTATGATTTCTGACCGAATTCTAAGTGATTTATATGCCACTTTACTTGCTATATTATACATACATTTCTGAAGAGAATTAAAATCTAATTGTGTTTTGGAAGAAAATTTAACATTAATAACAAAAAATAAATATTTAAAAATTGGGTCAAATGCATTCTTTCCCAGAAGTATAAAATAAATTGATGCTTGGGTTTTCTTGTTGTTATCATACAGCAAATACTCTTTCAATGGTGTTCCAGCCTAAAAAAATAAAAAGTAGGAGATAAGAATACTTTCTATGGTTCACAACGTTTAAATAAACAATTTATTTTGCCACATCGAGACCGCGTCTCTATTTGGTTTCAACTTTGCGTAATGTTATATTATTTTTGGACCCATTCTTATTTTATTTCCATTGACAACAAATTGGATATTACCCTTTAAAATCTACTGAAATCTATTTGAAAGTAAAATACTGTCCATCATTATTTTACTGCTATTTACTGTAAAAATACACATACATGTAGGGCCTATCGCAACTTGAAGGAAATCAATGGATGTGATTGGCAAAAATCAAGCATGCCAAGTACTTGAAACAGAGAGTCCTAGGCATTGCCCCAAGAAGAATAACTAGATTACCAAGCAAGTGTATAGAAGTACTTCCTGATTAAAAATACAAATATATATGTTACTTACATTTTGCGTGTTTTCCCCTTGTCAGTGATACAGGACGGAGGACCTGACAAGGACAGCTGTCTAGTCGTTCGGATGGGACGAAAAACCGAGGTCCCGTGTACACATTGGCGTGCACATAAAAGATTCCTTGGCAATTGGAATTCGATATAAGAGTAGGCTGTAGCGCCGCTGCCCGGGCAAAATTCCCTTCATAGCACACTGCCCAATTTATGAGCAAAACAGTAGGATGTTAAACCCCATTTCATTTCATTTTCAAAATTATAAAATAATTTGATGGCTTAATATTCAAAAGGTACAGTCCTTCATGTTTATAAAATTGTACGGGAGCCATAAAAAGCTCCTGATACCTTGAATATATGCAGTTTAAAAGTAAACAAAAATCTCAATATTTAGGAGAGAGAGAGAAATGGGGTTTAACGTCCATCCACCCCCCCCCCCCACCAAGTGTATAGAACCAGTTCCTGATTTAAAAAGCAAATATGCATGGTACTTACATAGTCTTTATCTGATAAGCAAGATCTGTGAGAAAACGTCTCCACAATATCAATAGCCCTTTCCAACTTGATCTTCCGAGGTGGGTAACTGAAAAAAAATGGCAATGTATTAGTTGGCTTAAATTGACTAGACAGTTTTGATTAATTAAAAAAATGTTACTTTAATTACATTTGTTTTGTTTCATGTGTTGGTTTGCTTTGCCACAGATGAGACAGTGATATCTACATATAACTAAGATTCTGTCTCTGCTCATACATGACGTGTACAGTTTTACTATACTAAACTGAATTTTAGATTTCAAAATAGCATAACAATCTTTTCTATTAGAATTAAATAGTTACCCACCAAGAAAAAGATGCTCTATCATCATTTTTTCCAGCCATTTCTTCTTCCTTTTTTTCTTTTATAATTTCTTTTGTTATTACATGATCTTTTTCTGGGTGATTTGCATATACATCCAATATTGAAACTGAAAAAATAAATACATGATATGTAATTTACGATTAAAGCTACCTTACCATATATACAAACTGTGTGATATGAAATTGAAACTAATGTATCTATATGTATCAAAAGTTTTAATCCCAAGGAACTACCAAGCCGTAAAAGTCTATCTTAATAATCCTTGTTTGTCACATGGTTTCACTGTCGCAGTAATTAGAAGACGGCCATGGTGACTGAGTAAATTAGGTGCTGGCACACTAGCATGGAGGCCACAGGTTATCTCTTTGGGTTGACCGAGAAGGCTCATCTTGATTTTGCAGAGTGGTTTCCACTGAGATCCAATGTACACATTGGCGTACACATAAAAGTTCTCTTGGCAGTTTGAATTCGGTATGAGAGTAGGCCATAGTGTCGCTGCCCAGACAAACATTTTCACTTAGCACAATGCATTAGACCAGTCGGAGCTGACCAGTAGGACGTTGTCTTTAAACCCCATTTCATTTCAGGTAATCTAGTATTTTTCTAGTAAGATTGAAGTCTCTCTACTTTCTTTATATGTAAATATCATATTTGAAATAAGTTATACTTTTATTTGATATGGGGTGGGGCTGGGGCGAATGGTCTAGTAGGTAATGCATGCGCATGAAATCACAGGGTCTGTCATTGTGTTAAGTGGCATGGTTTCAATTTCAAGGAGTAGAGTCGCCTGTCCAATCTCTTGAGTTTTTCGCTGGGTCATTCGGTTTCCTCCGTTTTCTAAATACAATTCAATATAAATCAAACACGAAAATACTTTAAAACAGTAATCATAATGCAATATTAGACTTTTTAACACTTTCATCGAAAACCACACAGTTTTTCTCTGTTAACGTAGTTTCAAGTGCCAAATTGTGGTCAAATCTAAATGTTGAAACATGCAGTGCCTATCAATTTTAAAATATCTCCTATATAGCTGTATTTCCATAGGATAAGTAAGTTGAAATAATCTGATTATGTAACACTACAACAGCTTTTTGATCCCTACCCCCCAGTTTGGAATCTGATAATTTAAAAGCACATGAATTTTGAATTCCACAGAACATTTTTATTATTGAACATAAATGCATTCTTCAAAAAGATGAGATGAATTCAATATAAATCAAACACGAAAATACTTTAAAACAGTAATCATGATGCAATATTAGACTTTTAACACTTTCATCGAAAACCACACAGTTTTTCTCTGTTAACATAGTTTCAAGTGCCAGATTGTGGTCAATCTAAAATGTTGAAACATGCAGTGCCTATGAATTTCAAAATATCTCCTATATAGCTGTATTTCCACAGGATAAGTAAGTTGAAATAATCTGATTATGTAACACTACAACAGTTTTTTCATCCCCACCCCCCGGTATGGAATCTGATACATTGCTGACCAATCATAGGTCGCCCCGTTCACTCGGGCCTGTCAAATGATTTACAATGGCGATGGTGCCGACAACTTTCCTGACCAAGAGATATGCACAACCGTCGATCAACACACAAGCCATTAATGTTATCTTCCAATATGAGAGGCCATGATAAACACACAAGCGTCCTTTTCAAGCTCGGAAATTAAGTCATCACCAAAAAGCAAAGTTTACAGAGGTCCTCGGGGCTGGAACCCAAACTGATTACGATTTGCCCTCCACTTCCACCACAGGTGTCATAGAGATCAGGGATGAAATTGATATGCATCATCGTTCTCCTAAAGCCAGTCCAGGAAGAGATCAGGTTTTGAGATGTAGACCTGAAATGTTAAATTTGGATGAGAATGAGAATTCTGGGGCGAATACTATCCAGGGAAATGGTCATTGACATCCAGAAAATGGTCAAAATGTGGAATTCTGTCATTCAGTTAAATGGCAAGGGGAGAAGACAGGCCTGTGCAGTACCAAATTTCCAGCCCATTACTATTAGTCAGCAGAAGTGGGGATGAGGTTGGATGTACTTCTTAAAGTGTATGAAATGCATTTATCTCACCTGTTTTGCTTCTTTTTTTTTTAATACTTGTGTTGAGGTCAATCATTCCACTCTATGAAACATTGCCCTGGCACCTGAAATGATAGGAGGCTGGGGATAAATATGCAATAAAAAACAGTGAGAAAATAAGAAAAAAATATGGTTTCAACTGGAAATAGAAAAAAAAACTCTTTATTTCTCGCGAACAGCCCGTCACTGGCCCTCCAAAAAGAAACCAGTTAACAATCAGTAAAAAAGTAAACCTTGAGTGTCACATAAGTCTAAGCCAATCTCAAAGGTAGATGCCATGTTTTGAAGTTCGGTCTAAATATTAAGGCCAACTGCATGTTTGGTCAAAAGTCACACAGGTGTGAATTTTGGAGTGTACATGTTAACAGTTCATTGTATGATGTCAAAAACATGTTAGGTCTAAATGTTAAGGCCAACTGCAGACTTGGTTCAAGGTCACAACATGTAAATAGGGTTAGGGCACATGATTTTTTGACACAATTGTGGGTTTGGGCTAGGGTCAGAACTAGGTCTTGGCTTAGGCCTAGGCTACATGCTTTTTGACAAGATTGTGGGTTAGGGTAAGGCCTGGGTCTTGGGTTAGGGTCAGTCTTGTTTACATCTCGTGACTTTAGACCAAATCTGGAGTTGTGTTGGCCTTAATATTTAGACCTAACCATGTTTTGATATCATTGTGAACAAAATGTTACACATTTACAACCCAAAATTCACACTCAACCAACGGATACCCCCAATCATGGCTATTTTGATACCAAATAGTCAAAAAACTTACTGCTGGGCAATAAAAAAGCAGTATTCTTACCATTTCTGACACTTTCCATTCAAAACTTCAGGAAATAAGCCGTTGAAAAAATATCAACATCCCGAGTCGGCCATGCTTCTTTATATCATCAGGAGTCAGACTAGCAATTATTTGCCCATTGACTTCAATGTTAAATGACTGTAACATCACAGGCTGTAGCTTTTTGCTCAACATTCCGTTGGTTCCAATCTTTATAGGCACAATGGGGACAACATTTGGCAATCTCCTCATCATAATTTTGTAGGGGGTTGACCGTTTAGATTTTTTGCTACACGGATTTGAAGTTGACAGGGGTGAAAATCTCACTTCCGACACAATGATTGCTCTGCAGAAAGACACTTTACAACCCCTATCCCTCCGCTGTAATATCATCAGTATTACCCAAAACTGCTATGAAATTGCAAATTTGATCCCTTTTCTCCAATTCTAGACCAAAAAGTCAACCCAAAAATGCAGGAAGAGGGGAGAAAAAAATTAAGGGAAAAATTGTCTATTTATAACTCGCACTACATTCGACAATCATGAAATAAGGGGAAATAATTACTAGTTTTAGTCCTGACTCCTTTATTAGGGTTGTCTTTCTTGCTTTTATCTTCCATTTATTTACGTTTTTGTTGTCTCAGAGATGGACTATTATTTTTAAAAAAAGTTGAAAATCGTAAAGTTTAGGAAATGTTAATCATATAATGATGAAAAAAAAATAAGAGCATATGATAATAAAAATGTGTTTGAAATTGAAGGCTCTATAATTAGCCTATAATTAAGGTATCAGTATGGAACGGATCGTAATCGTACGGAATTCAACACGGTCAGACTGATATTTAGGAACGTAAAGTTATCAGTCTGGAACGGATCGTAATCGTGCGGTATTCACTAAGGTCATACTGATATTTAGGAACGTAAAGAAGACCATTTTACTAACCGTCTCCATTTTAAGAAAGAGCAGATATAAATATATGATTATATCGACAGAATCTCCACACGAATCTTTAATTTAGTAGAAGAAGAGCAAGTTGGCAATTGTATTAATCATGGCCGTTGAAAGATTTAAAGTTTGGATTAATGTTAAGAGAGTGTGGGTCAAAGATGCCGCTGGTAGAGTGTGTATAGGGTGTTAAAGTTTAAAAGTTATTCCCTACAAGGTGGTTCTACGGTTCTTACCATAGAATTCAGCTGTGAAATAACACAGTTTCTTTCATTATGTGTACAACAATAAAACTAGTTCAATTGCAAGTTGTCTAAACCACGGTGCTGTGATGTATGCATCTAAATGTTTCGACGACCCACCAATCAGTAGTTGCATGATGATTAAATTTATCGGACATGGAATGTGAAAATGCTTTGGAACTTTCAACTGTAACACGTTGCAATAATTACTCAATATAAGCCAAAAGGATCCGCCTTGTTCATTTATAGTCCGGCCCTGTCTTCAGTATTAAAATATAAAATTGAACACAAAGTATATTTAGTAATCCGTATTGTAGTAATGGCAATCACGGCTTGTGTTTTTTTTGTTTTGTTTTTTGTTGTTTGTTTTTTTTGCAAAATATAAAATAATTACGATGTCGTTTAACACTCACAACAACATATTTGGTTACCGGCCATTCAGCCATTCAGGTCGTACATGTGTCAAGTATACAGTCATATATACAAACGCCTAACTATAGAAGCCTACCATTCTTAATTTCTACTTTTCGCCCTCCAAAACACGAAAGTCGAAAAGTAGCAGTTACAACAAAATGTGAGGCGACAGCAACGCTATACAAGCCAAAATCGACTCGAAAATAGGAAATCAAGAAATAATACACTACGATAATAGCGCCCCTCGTTTTTTTTCCTAATTTCTTATTTTCGACTTGCATTTTGGCTTGTATACCGTCTTATTGACTTAGTCATATTTTTGTATTTATTGATGTCAGTAAGATGTTACTATGGAGAACGTTAATTTCAGATTATACATTCCAGACTTCGTAATTGTAAAAGTGCTCTAAACTTCCATAGATTTTTAATGCATATTTCACATAACCCGACATGCAGTTGTGGTCATACTCAAGAAGACAGCGACCATTATTTTCTGCACTGCCCAAATTATTCGTCTCTGCGTATCTCAACATTAAATACCCTCCCATTTAAATCCATAAATACAAAAGCGTTCCTATATGGCGATACCAACGAAAGTAACCCGTTCAACAAAGTGAGTTTTAGTAAAGTTCACAAGTATTTAAAACTAAACAAGCGCTTTGAATAGATAAGGTAATTGTCAGGCGACGATGATTGGTGTTAAAAAGTGATGATGACCATGAAGATGATTTATTTATATATTTATTTATATACTAGAAGAATGCCCGGCTTCGCTCGGGGGTCATAACTCCGAAACCGGAAGTGGTAGACTAACGCCACCTGGCCTATGTTACTCCCCGGTCCGAGCTACCCCTATACCTCAAATTTCAGACTCGGAAATGACAACGTGAATGATGGATCAGTCGAACGACAGAGTGAATGACAGGAGTTTTCCAGTCGAATAATAAAGATAATGGCAACTCTGGTCATAGCATATCTGTTTATAATATATTTCATATAAATGTTTATACACGTATTTGAAAAATACATTTAGGTCTACGTGTAATGTTGAATGTATAAATTCGGAAATGTTTTGATCTCTTGAACTGTATTATTTAAAATACACGATTAACGTATTAAATTGTAAATAATGAATCAAGCCAAGACATGTATTAAATGTTTTATTGAATTGGAATAGAAACTGAAAACAGATTAACACCCTGTGTGAGATATTTCATTCAAATATTGTGAAAGGGTTGGTAATAAGATTAAAATTGTCATTGTGTCATTTTAATAACATTGAATCGTCCTATTCTGTTACGTAGTCGTCTCAACATATTGTTGTCATGGGTTACTTCTGCTAAACAACTCAATAGAAACGAGTAAAGTATTATAAACGAAATTATGTCTAAAGAGTTCTTCATGACATGTATTGACTGTAAGACACAAAGCGTACAGGATCTAAGTGTGATGTTAAAGGTCAACACGCAAATATTGAAATTGGGTATGTTCGTGGATTGACTTATAGAATGTTGTTAATATTTCCATTTAAATAAATACAAAAAGCAATTCGAAAAATAAACTATAAGTAAAGGAACCATCTCAATTAATAAAGCTATTAATATGCCGTTAACCCGTGAGGCAAACCGAATGATGTTTTATAGTAAATTAGACGAATAAAACATATAACGTTGCCATCTCGACCCTGATGCCCATGAACACAAATGACGAGTTTAAGACAAACCAATTGTGGAATGGAATTGATTAATGCAATATATATTTTATTATGTATTGACAATACTTTTCTGGTTAGATTTTAGCCTAAACACGACATGTGTGTTGGTGACAATTTTGGCAGTCATATCTGAATGACTCAAAAACTGTTTATATTTCTTTAACTTTTGGTATACCTAAATTCGGGCTATTATTTATGGTAGAAAGATATAATAAAATGACCTAAAGCTTTAAAACATATTTTTAAATATGTTGAGGCACCCTAAATTGAATTTGAAGCACCAGGGATAAATAAATAAAAATAGCTATAATGCATGATTTTATTGTAACTAGTGAACTGATAAATATTGTACAATTTATCTAAAGAGTACATTTATGAAAACGTGGTACTTTTCTGATATCTAGTTAAATTAACACTTACCCAGATCTTGGCATAAGCATGACTTAAAATGATCACGGCTAAAACACTTCCGTGCGAATCAAGAATTCTTTATGTAAGAATAGAGCTTTATAAGACCGTAAATGGACCACACATTATGTCTCCACAAGATGGTAGCTATAATCTTTCAATCCAATCCCCTAATTAAGTATACCCCCACCCAATCATAAAAAAATAATAACATAGCAAAACGGTGTTTAATTCTGATCATCTAAATTATCAAACGATATTCGCCGAAGTAGTAACTGAGAAGGGCGTGTTTTAAGATATACATAATGTATCTTACTATTTTACGCTTATATAATTTGATTTTCAAATACAAACCATTAATACTTATCTTAGCATTAAAACAATCAACCAGTTGTGGTTATATTGAAATCTGTAAAAGACGCATTCTTTTTGAATATATTTTTAAAAAATAATAAATGGAAAAAAACCATATTATTAACGCTTTTTCAACAAGCAATTGTTATACTCTTAGTGATTTGTAGAGCGTCAAATCACAATGTTATTGTACTGTTTTAAATTGTAGATTTTATTCATTCATGTAAAACATTTATTACAATTTTATAATAAAATGTATAAAACACTGAGTTCGAGATTCAAATCACAAATCCATCCAAGCTAGGATACTGCAAATCCGAATATTTTTGTTTATAAAATATTTACTTTCCATTCAATAAATATTCCAGTCATCTAGTTTTGGATTTGGGGAAATTCATTCTCCTTTTCCCATATATACAGATTGCCGTATTATTTAATAATCAAACCAAACAGCATGTAATCAAAGAACGCTTGTATCCGCCATATGTAATATTGTCACGTGACATTGTTATGTTTTGTTTCGCTCGGGAAGCGTTTATTATACATAATATGCCGTTAACCCGTGAGGCAAACCGAATGATGTTTTATAGTAAATTAGACGAATAAAACATATAACGTTGCCATCTCGACCCTGATGCCCATGAACACAAATGACGAGTTTAAGACAAACCAATTGTGGAATGGAATTGATTAATGCAATATATATTTTATTATGTATTGACAATACTTTTCTGGTTAGATTTTAGCCTAAACACGACATGTGTGTTGGTGACAATTTTGGCAGTCATATCTGAATGACTCAAAAACTGTTTATATTTCTTTAACTTTTGGTATACCTAAATTCGGGCTATTATTTATGGTAGAAAGATATAATAAAATGACCTAAAGCTTTAAAACATATTTTTAAATATGTTGAGGCACCCTAAATTGAATTTGAAGCACCAGGGATAAATAAATAAAAATAGCTATAATGCATGATTTTATTGTAACTAGTGAACTGATAAATATTGTACAATTTATCTAAAGAGTACATTTATGAAAACGTGGTACTTTTCTGATATCTAGTTAAATTAACACTTACCCAGATCTTGGCATAAGCATGACTTAAAATGATCACGGCTAAAACACTTCCGTGCGAATCAAGAATTCTTTATGTAAGAATAGAGCTTTATAAGACCGTAAATGCACCAAACATTATGTCTCCATAAGATGGTAGCTATAATCTTTCAATCCAATCCCCTAATTAAGTATACCCCCACCCAATCATAAAAAAATAATAACATAGCAAAACGGTGTTTAATTCTGATCATCTAAATTATCAAACGATATTCGCCGAAGTAGTAACTGAGAAGGGCGTGTTTTAAGATATACATAATGTATCTTACTATTTTTCGCTTATATAATTTGATTTTCAAATACAAACCATTAATACTTATCTTAGCATTAAAAAAATCAACCATTTGTGGTTATATTGAAATCTGTAAAAGACGCATTCTTTTTGAATATATTTTTAAAAAATAATAAATGGAAAAAAACATATTATTAACGCTTTTTCAACAAGCAATTGTTATACTCTTAGTGATTTGTAGAGCGTCAAATCACAATGTTATTGTACTGTTTTAAATTGTAGATTTTATTCATTCATGTAAAACATTTATTACAATTTTATAATAAAATGTATAAAACACTGAGTTCGAGATTCAAATCACAAATCCATCCAAGTTAGGATACTGCAAATCCGAATATTTTTGTTTATAAAATATTTACTTTCCATTCAATAAATATTCCAGTCATCTAGTTTTGGATTTGGGGAAATTCATTCTCCTTTTCCCATATATACAGATTGCCGTATTATTTAATAATCAAACCAAACAGCATGTAATCAAAGAACGCTTGTATCCGCTATATGTAATATTGTCACGTGACATTGTTATGTTTTGTTTCGCTCGGGAAGCGTTTATTATACATAATAGAACTCCAGTGTAGTAAGCCATAACTATGAACAATATCATGTCCCAAATAAATAATCTAATTTCTAGATCTGCAATTGGTCACATGATGGTCCGAACATTATTTGTATGGCTCTATTTGTTGACAGCAAATACCGCTAATAATTATCTTGGATATAATACCTCGTTTAGTAAACGAGGCAATTTTACCCAGCCTCGTTCTGAACAAAATACCTCGTTCCAAAAACAGGGCAATTTAAAAAAAAAACACGTTTTGGAACTCCAGAGAAACGAGGTATTTTTTTTACCTCGTTACACTGAGGCAAAATCGGGGCAAAAATTTTGACACGTTTTTGCCTCGTTTGGACAGAAATGCCGAACGAGGCATTCTGAGGTTTATAGTGATACACCACTACGGGTTCTTCGTCGCAGAAGACACTAACGTCGGCATCGTCTGAGATGGAGGACTCCATAACCGGAACTGGCACATCGTATCGGGTTTCGGCTGTAAACGATTCTTCTACTTCCATAGGTTCAGTTGTTGGGACCTCCATAACTTCTTGTTGTTCGTCCACATCTTCCGTCTGCTTATTAGATTTAAGGTTGTTTTTTTAAACATAAATTAGATTACAATTCAACTAACACAAAAGTGTAAAAAGATTTTTTTCTAGTCTGTGCCCGCGTTAATGTCTACTCTTGGCAAAATCGTTATAATATAAAAAAAATCATGAAACAAGAATCAAAATGGCCGCCAATCGGGTCTCCAACGCCAATCCAACCTCCCAAGATATAATTTCAAAACAGATTCTTACCTGCTGGTTCAAGTCGAACCGTTTCTGCTTTAATCATAATGTGATTCTGTAATGTAAGTATTTGAACAACATCGTAGCGCCGAACAACTAATGTTAATTAAGCATGATTTCAGAAAAATTGAACAGATTTGATAATAACATGCCGAAATTTTTTTCCTGAACGCGCCATATTATAAACATGAACTTCCGGTTTAAATTGTTGGAGTTTTTTTTAAGGAAACGAAATACTAATATTATACAGAGAAACAATATCGATGCTAAATTACATACATGGTATTATTTTTTTTATATAAATATTCACAAACCTGCGGTCTTGTATTCTATGTGACCATTAGCTTACATTTGTCAAACATATCACTGCTCCAAAATCATTTCAGCACGTTGTTAAATGTTAAATTAATTGTGTGAAATCACTTCATTTAATGTCCGCTTCCACCGAGATGATATCGCAGACAAAATGTAGCCTATAGTACGTTGATTTTATCAACCAATCACATTCAATAACAGTTTTACTTATTTTCTTGTCAACGCATTTGGAGTCAATTGTTAAAATCACACCGGGCATGAGCGCTCAACAGGCCTTGGATCTACCAGTTTATTGGGCCCAACTTTATTTTAACTACAGACATCTTAACACCAATTAGCATTCAAGTCTGTCTGGCTATATTGTCTGAGTAAAAAATACCTTTCTCTTACTTGTGGACCCCCGGATTAAGACTTTGTATGGAGTTCAAATTTAAAAAAAAAAATATTTGTTGACGGTACACATTACTTGTGTTAATTATATGGAAAAAACACAAGATTTGTGTTAATGCATTAAAAAGAACACAAGTTTGTGTTAATGCAATGCAAAACAACACATAACTTGTGTAGAATAATTTTCACACAAGTACTTGTGTTGAGATCCAACACAAGTTTTTTTTTCAGTGTGTGATATCACAGTTAATGCTTTGCGTAATAAAAATTTACGTCAAACGGGATGTTGGATTTTCTCTCTCTAAAAATCCCAGTGTGTATATAAGTATATACGCCAAAATGACGATAGAGATCATGTATTTCTCAAAAGTTTTCAAGGCCGTGGGGGATAAACCCCCACTCCCTTCAAGATATATTGTCTCGGGAACCTGGCAAACCCCCTCCTCCAAAAATTCCTAGATCCGCCCCTGTCACTGGTGCCAGTTCTAGAGGTCATCTAGTCACAACTAGCATTTGACTTTAACTCAATAATATTGCTCATCTTCGTTGAGAAAATCAGACTAATAAAAAGAAAACAGCGAAATTTCCATATCATTTTCAAACTGAAATATTGAATTGTTGTAAAATTAGACTTACTTCCATCCTCTTCGGGTTTTGGGTTAGTAGGTTTATCCTTACACCATTTTAACTGTGTTTTAAATAAATAAAGAGAGGAAGGTTCAAACAATTATTACCAGGAAGCAAAACTACTTTAATTAAATAATTAATTTAGTCCGAATTACTTATGTCCGTTATTTAATCGCAAACAAAACAAGCGGTCTTGCAGGAAATGGACAGAAAACTAGCTAAAGTAAAATGCTATTTTTTTTGTACAATCAGGGGGCATAATCCATCGGGTTATAGTCCGATATGCACGAATATCGAAAGGAACCGAGATCATTTGGATAAATAAACAATTATCAAATATTGGTTGTAAATCTCCATTCTTAATTGGTAATAGAGAAATTAAACCTTTAATATTGGTGCAATATTTGATATGAATATGAGTATGGAAGCCTAAGTAAATTATATATGTAAATTGTGTTATTGTAATATAAGAAATATTGGTAGAATACTTAAATTTATCTCTTTAGACTCCACAAAAAGACTAGTTAATATTTTGGTCGCAATTTTAACCCGTTATTAGCCAAACTTTTAGATAAACTTTAACGAGTCCAAAATACAGCTGCACGCCTCATTACACGCATGAAAAATTATGACCATATTACCCCAATTTTAAAAAAAAATTACATTGGTTACCAATTTCTTATAGAATTGATTTTAAAATTGTATTTTTAACTTTTAAATGTTTGAAAAACTTAGCACCTGTTTATTTATCTGAACTTTTACATATGTATATACCAGGGCGATGTTTACGTTCTTCAGATGATAATTTTCTTTTAAAGCCTGAACATTCAAAACTTTTAACTTTTAGGGTCCATAAGCTATTAACCCGATATTTCGTACACTCAGGGACCATAACCCAGGTTGTTACGATCCGATATGCGCGAATATCGAACCGAACCGGGATCTTTGGGTTATAAATCTACAGTTGAAGTTTCATCAAAATCTGATACAAATGGTGACCTCTAGAGTGTCCACAAGCTAAAAACATGAAGTTACGGTCCGACACATGCCAATATCTAAAGGAACCCATCGATCTTTGGGATATAAACCTATATTTAAAGTTTCGTCAAAATAAGATAAAAATTGTGACCTGTAGCGTGTCCATCAACAAAATGTGAACGGAGGGACGTCTGGACGTCCAGGGGCGACAATATACGTAGGACGAAACTGGGGGCAGCGGAGAAACTTCATGAGCCTGGGCAGGCGACCCTACTCCTTGTCAAGTACAAGCATGGGATTTTAGAAACAACACCACTTGGCTCTATGACAGACCTCATGATCTAAAGTAGCCGACAGTGAATGTGTTCTCTTGAACACTCGGTGTTCCTCGTTGGAACCTTTTTCACTGGATTTAGGTTTCAAAAATTCAGTCACAAAACTTTCTTGGTCATCGGCTATCAGAGCTTCACAAAATAGGTCGAAACACTTCGAACCACGTGTCCGTAAAATATCCAATAATCCTTTTGCTTGCTCGTCTGCATTTGAGATTACCTACAAAAACAATAATAAAACAGGATAAGCAGGGCTGCAATAATGATTTTACTTCTACTTACAACTAGCAGGCAATATGGCCAAATCAATCTAATTTTCAGTTCTGGTGTTATACTATATATACTGTAGTAGAGGTTATTAGAGTTCTCTTAAGTGATGCTCTATTTAATGTATTGAAGTCGTTAGCTAGTACAAGTGACATCGAAAACGGGGCTAATTAGATATATCTTGTAGATTAAAATCGGACAATGGCATCATAACCTAGTAATCCAAATATGGTATCTCACGCCTTAGAATAGTGGAAACTCGTCATCCGCCCCACCTCCTTGGTGCCCATATTAAAACATTGTGTTTAAGACCAGGGTAGCTTCTGAGCAGCTGACCAATCAGTTAAAGGAATTGCCTGGTCATTTACGTATCCTCTTTATAAGAACCAGCGGGGTTTAAGTTCAAGACATCATTTGGACATCATAGAGCTGGGCTAGAGGGACAAGTATCCGCCTCGATTTAAGAGCCGGAATTCAGACATCATTTGAGACCGGCATAGAAACATGTAGATCGTCACCGAACACTCGTGAAGTGATGGGAAATTATATTTAGTTGATACTTAATGTCATAACTGTGTGTCTAGTTTCCTGTATATAACCTTTGCATTATAGATGTTATAAAGAATTTTTATACCCAAAGTGGTAGTCAGAGTTAATTGATCTATTTAAAACACCGTAGTGTCACACATGGTCTTGATAAATAAATAACCACTTAAAGGTACATTATGGGAGATTAAATAAAGAGTTGGCAGTTCTCGCTATAATAGTTAAAAACTAGATAATATAAAAATCATTTATGTACATAAAACATTTTATCGGCAAGTGTATAACTCAATAGTTAAAACAATGATAAGTCAACACGTGATCACCGGTGATCACTCGTGGGCGGGGCTTAAGCTTAAGTCGACCCTCGCTGGTATACCTAAGCTCATTAGTCATTAGTAAGTCGCTTTGGATGTGCCAGCTTTATATTGTGTTACCGATCACCTCATAATTTACGCATATTTGGATATTTGTTTAAAATTCTTGGAGAAAGTCTTGGATCGTTAATTTGGGAAACCCGGTGGTTAACCTGAGTAAGTTTTAAATTTAGTATAGAAGCTCCAGTAAATGACTTAGTTAGTGTTAATTCTAATAGCACAGTTCCAAGTTCTCCTATGGTACCCACGCTGTCGGTGACCTACTTAGACCGCCATCTTGAAATGCAAGAAAAAAAACTCTGATTCTTGGAGCTTCGCACATCGCAAGATTGGACAGCTTTATTCAAAAGAACACACAATGGACCAATTTAAACTTAAAGAAAAGCTGTTTTAAGTTATGATTATTTGGTGTTTCTGGCGGTTCTATTCTCAAATCTAGACACGTACATAAATTCGAGTTGAAAGTTCGTTCCGAAAAACCAAGTCATCTGATACTTCATTTAGGAGGAAACGACCTTGATAGTGCCGAGGATAACACCGAATTAATAGTGTTTAAATTAATCGCGTACGCAGAGACTCTTAGAAAGCGATATAATATAAAGAGTGTGACAATAGGATCATTGTTTAACAGAACCAAGACAAGGAACTGCACGATTGTGGATTATAATACACGAGTAAAAGAAGCCAACAGTGCACTAAAAGAACATTTAAAGAACAAAGACATGATTAATTTTTGGTGTTTTAGTGGGATTAATAACTCCCCTAAACCGGTGTTTTCCGACGGCGTCCATTTATCCAAGGCATACGGCTATCAACCTTATATTAGAAATTTACGCGGGGTGGTATTATTGGCAATGAGGAAATGTAAACCATTAGGACACTAGAGTGTGGTGCTGCATGATTATTTATTTTGTTTGTCCTTCTTATTTTAATAATATATACTTTTTCTTTCAGGTACCATTTCTAGTAGTTAAATAGATAATTTTTTGCTTTTTACCAGGGATAGCTCCCCTGTCTGTCAATAGCCTACTCATTTTAATATTCCGGCAAAGGTATGAGAATTTTATTCTTTAACAAGAACGCATAAAGGCACTGGCCATATCACAATTGTAGGCATATTATCGCTCAGGAGCAATGAAAGAATTAGCGTTATGGCGCGTTACGGCTGTGGCATTGGACCACGTGATCAGTTGAGGGCACTGGCCCATTTAAAACAAAATAGTAGGGCATGGGCCCCCTTTTAAAAAAAATTTAGGGCACTAGCCCATGTTTATATATTAGGGCACTGGCCAAATGTAAAAGTATTAGGGCACTGGTCCATGTAAAAGTATTAGGGCACTGGCCCATGTAAAAGTATCAGGGCACTGGCCCATGTAAAAGTATCAGGGCACTGGCCCGTGTATAAATATTCGGGCACTGGCCCAGGTGTGTAGAGGGCACTGGCCCAGGTGTGTATAGAGGGCACTGGCCCAGGTGTGTAGAGGGCACTGGCCCAGGTGTGTTTAGAGGGCACTGGCCCAGGTGTGTAACTGTTTAGGGCACTGGCCCATGTGTAAATGATTAGGGCCCTGGCCTGGTGTAAATGATTAAGGCGTTGGCCCATGTATGATGGCACTGTTTCTTATTGGTATCTTTATCCTTAATTCATCAATTTTTGGATATATTTTCTTCAGATTAACAAACATGAAAGTAACTAAGAGGAAACTCCAGTCCACCACAAAGATAAAAGCAACTAAAAGGCTTGCTCAGGGGAGTAAAGTACGAAAACACAGAGATTCATTGGACAACAAAATAGCAAAAGCTATTTCGAATGCCATCCCTGCTATTACCGATGCGGTCATGCAATCACTACAGATGTCAGATAACATGGACAGACATCCTGCCGAGACACCTCAAGCAGGTAATAGTTCATCTATTGCTGACCAATTGGCATCTAAGCCAATTACATTAGGTATTGATGGAAAAGTCTGCGCAAAGATTTGGGCAAACGAATTTATTGAACTAGGAGATTTATTAAACACATCGGTCTCATCTCCAGATGAATTCGTACTAAGATACCAGCAGGGAGAAATGACTTTCGTCAAGCGCAATATAACGAAGAAGG